GGCCAGCAAGCCAGGGAGGCGGGGGTTAGGGGCCAGGGGGCCGCGGGGCCAGGAAGGCCAAGGGTAGGGGGGTCAGGGGGCTCAGGGAGGTCAGGGGGAGCAGGGCGCCAGGGGCGGCCCATCGTGGGTGCCGACCCCCATGCTGTGGGAGATAAACCAACCCGTAGATAAGAAACCTGACAGCCTGGCAAATGCGGCTGGGATAAGACCTTAAACCCTACACCCTGAAGCTTTAAATCTAAACCTGATATACCCTAAATTCTGAACCCTAAACCTGAAACCCTAAAACGCAGACATTTCGGCTCAAACTGATGTGCGCAGGCGACCATGAAACGGAGTAACTGAGAAGTGGCTCCTACGTTTAACGGAGACATTCCCGACAGCTTCAACGAAGGCAAAAGCTACTCTGAAAGCAATGCTTTCGAGATGAAGTTCTGTTCCGTCAAGCCTGAACTGAAGCTTTTGATTTTTTATTTTTTTTAACCTCGACCGCAAACCGAATATATTTCAGCTCAATTTCTATCAGCTCAATTTCTAACAGATATGGATAATAGAAAAAACAGGAAACCTTAACGTGCGTGCTCTTGTAATTGCAGAACATGTATTAAAATCTGTCTTTATAATTACTACGATCTTTGATCATAGATGATTTTTGTGGAGCCTATATGGAAAGTAAAAGAAAGCAAGAGAGAAAATGGACAGAGAGATAGAGAAATCTAGAGAGATATAGAAACATTAAAAAAAGTATATAGAGATGGAGATAGAGAGACAGATATAGATATAGACAATAAAAAATAAAGAGAAAGCAATGAACATAGAACAATAAAAGCATGAAGAGAAGGCGAAGGTAAGAAAAACACTGGCAAGCCTTTACAGCTTGGCTGCAGCAACGTAATGCAGAATGAGAAGAGTTGCTGCGCCGAGTCAGCGCTGCAACCAGAGTCGCAGAATGAGAAGATTTGCTGCGCCGAGTCAGCGCTGAAACCAGACTGGCAGAAACGGTCCCGAGTTACAGTCTGATCGAGATGGAAGCTTTTCGCCTTCGGTCTTCACCGCTGCACCAGCTTAGGCTGAGATTCTGGCGACAGCTTCGGCAAGCTTGCTGGCAGCGCGACGTGCTGGCGCTTTTTTGTTTTTTTCTGTCTGAAGGCGCGTCCTTCTTGTGGCCAAGCAAGTGGAGAAGTTAGACCTTTCTGCTGTTCCGTCACCTCGTCACAGATCTGGTGCGTTCCTACATGGTAGATTTTGCTAAGCGTTTGACCAAGCGTTCTCGAAAGTTATATTTCTGACATGTGGGCTGGTGCGGTCCGACGGTCGGTGGAAAAAGAAGGTGGCATCGTCAGCCACCTAGCTCGGCTTCTCCCTGGCTGGGCAGAATAAGCACGCTCGCCGCAAGAGAGTAGTGGACTACGACTGCGCGCATCGTCAGCGGACCCTGAAGGCTTCGAAAACGCCTTCACGTAAAATGATTGTATGCCAGATCGCAGAGAATGGATCGTCTCGAGCGGTTAGATGCTGACAAGTTTCGTGCGATGGCCGCACGAGTCAGTCGCCGCGCGAGTTGTGTAACTGGCATGTTCTCTCCAGTCACTGGAGGAAGGCTTGCACTAAGTCCAGGTGTCGCGATATCCAGCGTACCGATGCACCAGGCCTTGCAGAGACAAGTAAAGAGAGAGAGAGAGAGAGAGAGAGAGAGAGAGAGAGAGAGAGAGAGAGAGAGAGAGAGAGAGAGAGAGAGAGAGAGAGAGAGAGAGAGAGAGAGACAGAGAGAGAGAGAGAGAGAGAGAGAAAGCGACAGACAGATAGACAGAGAGAGAGAAATAAAGGAGGGCAGGGGCCAGCAAGCCAGGGAGGCGGGGGTTAGGGGCCAGGGGGCCGCGGGGGCCAGGAAGGCCAAGGGTAGGGGCTGTGGGGGGGGGGGTAGGGAGGGGGGTAGCGGGGGGTGTAGGGGTGGAGGCTCAGGGTTTGGGGGGCTTTTCCAAAAGAGTCCTTATGCCCTGTGCAAAACCTCTGGTCCGTGTGTTTACGTGGTGTGGGTGACCTGACCCTGCACGGAAAAGCTGCCCGGGAGGGGGGTGTACCCTCCCACTCCCCCCCCGCGTTTTGGGGGGGTAAGGAGGGAAAGAGGGAGGTTTTCACCTTCTCAAACCCATCCAACACGCCGCCAGGGCCTGCGGACCTAGACACTAAACCCTAAAGCTTGCAACCCAAACCCTAAACCCTGAACCCTAAACCTTAAACCCTAAACCCTAAACCGATATAAGCTAGGCCAAAACGCTTCTGTATAATCTCAAGGACGATTCCAACTTTGACTTCAGCGATAGTTTGCTCAGTGGCCAGCTTGACTTACGCAGACTTCTGCAAATCTCAGCAGAAGAGATGAGTAGCTCTCGTAGCAGTGCATAGCGAGCGCAGCTAGAACAGGAAGCCTTGGCAGAGACATCTCTGCGACACTCGGGACTCGTTTCAAGAGTTGAGTGCCGTTGTGGACGATGCTTTGGTACGGAGACAACATATGTATGAAATTTTTCAGTTGAGAGTTGCGTGCGATGATGTGGATAGCACGTTGAAACAACAGTTGCGTTCGTGACATGCTTTGCTGGCCACCACACCTGGACAGAGCGCAGTGGATTCTCTGAGCCGCGTAGCCTTGGAGAAGAGATTAAGCTGTGAGATGTGCATTGCTCTATACATAAATGAGGTGATTTGCATCATATTCAGATAGTTGGTGTTCCTGACTCCGAAATACGAACCCGAAACCCTGAACCTTGAAGCCTAGACCATCAATTTCATGTTTTGATTCATTGGTGACGATTCTTGGTGCAGCTAGTGAAATTCGCTCACGGCGTCTTGTTGTAAATTATAATATTTAGTGTTATTAAAGTGGTCTAAGCAATTTAGATAACAAGAGAAGAACTCTTGGACAAATAAACCCTAAAGGTGACGACCTCATATATATATATACCCTTTAAGGGACTACATAGGGCCCTCATTCCCTCATTCCCTACTAAGAGCCAGCCAGTCTATGGTGCCTTCATGAGCGTCGAAGCCGAGTTGCGGTCGAAGTGGTGCCCACCTGCGTCAGAATGGAAACCACATGAGAGGCATGCCGAGGCTACGCGCGGCGGCGTCTCCCTAAACCCTAAACCCTAATCCCTAAACACTAAACCCTAAACCCTAAACCCTAATCCCTAAACCCTAAACCCTTCCTGCGGCAAAGTTGTACCGGGTGGTGGAACCCAAACTTGTTGCGAGGCACAGCCTGGAAGAGCCCAGGTCCGCTTCGCCTGCAAAATGCACCGTCGCTGGTTTAGGGTTTAGGGTTTAGGATTGAGGGTTTAGGGGCGGATTTGCTCGGTACCTGCCTCGTCCGAGCCCCATCGCGGCATGCTTCCGCAGACCTGTTTCCGGTAGAGCGCATGAAAGCAAGCCATGCGGATGATAAGCTGCAGCAGCTCGAGACTTCGGGCCTAAACCCTCAATACCCTAAATAGCCGGAAAAACCCTAAATACCCCAAACCCCAACCCTCAATACACTAAATACCCTAAACCCGAAACCACAAGAAGGGTCACCTGCGGATTTCGCTCCAAGGCTCGAAGCACGGACCACTCTGCACCTGAAAACTGCACGAACCAAAGCAAGGAAAAGTCAAAACACGAAAAGAACCACATGGGGGTTTCCGAAAATAGGGGTACCCTTTTTTGGGGGTCCCCCATAAAAATCCCTACTGTTAGTATAAGGTATCAGGCGTCCTAGTAGTTTGCGTACCCAAACAAGGATTAACTTCTTGAGAACTGACCATGTGTGTGGGTGTACCTGTCTCAGAACGCGCGATAATGCGCAGCAGCAGGCTGGCGAGATCCTCGAAGCCCAGAAGAGGGCAGGCAAGAATCAAACATTAACCACATGGTGGCAAAACCACAAGAACAATTAATTAGTCTAACGTCCTGCTGGTTGTCTTTGGTCACCATCTGGGCATCCGAGGCGTCCGAACAAAAAGACACAGCTTGTCTCACTGTTTTACGGACCGTCTCTCTGGCTTAGGCCTTAGATAATCCTGCCTCGCCTCAACGGAAATCGTTCCAGTGAATAGCTCGTACAGCAAGAACAAGGGGATATCGACCGAGCCTCCAGTGGGTCTTTGCTGCAAGCAACTGGATACTTGGAGGTTCATGGCTCATGGTACCAGTTAACCGATTCTAACTGTACTTATAACTGTACTTGTAACCATATTAGGGCACTTAAGGGGCTTACAAGTGGGTTATAAGCACAGCTTTTATTTGTTAAGAAGTACAATGAACCTTTAAGTACTGGTAAAGGAAGCCTCCGCGGATGCCGCCAAAGAGGTCATTGAGGAAGCGCATGGCGTCGACACCCACCATTGCAGGAACCTGCTCACAAGCTGCCCTAAACCCTAAACCCTAAACCCTAAACCCTAAACCCTAAGCCTAATGTCAGGTGGCCACAAAAGCCCAGGTGTGCCCCCTCCCCCCTAGTAGATCGCAGCAAAACTGAAATAAAGATCAACCAAGACCAATGATGAACCATACTTCTTGAGCAATGATCTGAGCTGGATCTAAGGGATCCACTTGCTTTGCATTGTTGCGACAAGTTGCCCCCGCAACTCTGCATCATGTTAGGGATGTCTTACTCTACTCAGATTGGTGGTTGTTCAACAGGAAATGGCCAACTTCGCGAAAAAAAAGTGTTTCGCGCCTTCGCGCGTAGCTTTGCCTAATTATGCATATCGCCTTATCATCAAGTATCAACGTCGAGAGGTCCGGTAGCTCTCTTGGGCCAGGTTTTTGGAATCCAGCACAGGGCTTGCGTGCGGGCTTTCAAACAACTTTCGCGCGTCTTTCGCACAGTTTCCTGGACGGTCCTGGAACAGTTGAGCTGCGCTTTGGCTCAGCCGGGCCACTTGGTTGGTTGAAAACTTCGGCGGCATTTCGGCTGCAGTCCTTCCGTCCTACCAGCACCTGGCCTGACAACTCCGGAGCCTGCAGCTGCAGCAGATACTCCATTGTATTGCTTTCGCACCTTCTTCGGGGCCTTTCGCGTGCCTTTGAAACCGCCTCAAAAGGTAGCCCAGAGTATACGTAACTGGAAGGCGCGGCCCCTGTAGAACAAGATGTACTCAGTCTCTTTTCGGCGCAACTTCCAGAAGTTGTAGAAGAACTCCAACCGAAGCATTTTTCGAGATACAAAAATATGATTTCAATACTGACGTCATTTGGCGCACATACGCATTCGGGTTCTCCATGCCTTTATAGTGTGGAAGAAACAAGTCATTTTGCTTGACAAACACGTTAACCCCTGACGTCGCGCGGGGGTCCATTTTCCAAATTATTCACAATGCATTTTGCACCATGACCACCGAAAACCTTCGTGCAAGTGCGTTCTGTTTGCAAAGATGCCACAACAGTGCCGCAACAGATCCATTCAATGCAGCAACGTCTCCCACAGCGACGCGGAGCTGCAAAGGCGCCAATGTCGTCCATTGCACATGCATGCACAAAGCCTTCGCAAGCATCAGCAAGTCTCGCACGGCTGTAGTTGCAAAACCTATGTTTTGGCGGCGGCGGTAGTTGGTTGTGGAAATTCACTTTTGGGCATCGTTTCGTGAGTTCACGTTGGCGGAGTGTCTGGCTGAGGACGTAGTTGTCGAATCCTGTGTTTCGGCATTGTTTCGGTACATCTTTGTGTCACAAAGATGTTGCCAAGAATGCCGAAACACGCAGTGGCTGTGCCCAGCATTGTAGCATGATTTTGTCACGTGTTCGTGAGTGGCTCTTTTTTTAAACTACCGTAGGAAACATAGACAAACGTGACTTACGCTAAGTCACTTAGGAGTTAACTCCTTGCACTCCTTAGAAGCCTGAACTCTAAAACCCTAACCCCCGTCCAAAAACCTGAAGCCCTAGACCCGAAACCCTACACCCTACACCCCAAACCCTAAACCCCAATTCATGAACCCTAAACTCTAAACCCTGGACATGGCCACAGTCTAGTTGCGAAATCCTGCGTTTTGGAATAGTTTCGCAATGTGTCCGCCAGTGTCGCATCGCGGCGCTAGTTGCGAATGTTTTTGCTACTCTGCTGAAACAAACCTTCATCATTCCGAGTTCCGCGATTCGTGTCGCGGTTCACGCGCGTTCTCTATGCGGACTCTGTGTCATGGGTTCGCGGCATCTTGTCGGGGCTTCTGTTGAGGGCTCGGGTCTCAAAAGCCACATGTTGCAACTGCCACTCTCAACACACCACAACCACGTAGTGCAAGCATTGCAAGCATTGCAAGCATTGCAAGCATTGCAAGCATTGCAAGCATTGCAAGCATTGCAAGCATTGCAAGCATTGCAAGCATTGCAAGCACTGGAGCAAATGCATGCTTCTCAACTCGCCACCCGTGTGGGCATCTGCATCATGAGCCCGCCTTGGGCCGATTGTACGTTACGCCTTGTGCGCTCGCTGCAAGCCTCGCATATCAAGACAAGGCGGATCAAGGCGGCAACAGTCGAGGGCTCCAGCCCCACGCCAAGTTTGGGCGCGTGGCTTTTCGAAGAAGTTCAAGTCTTTCAGGAAGGATCTGGCACCAGTCGACAAACAACGGCAGGAACATCGCTCACCAGTCTTGCCGAGACATGAAGCACGCACACACACAAATGCACAGAACTGAACAAGGAAGAACACCCAGGTGAGTGCAGGCCACGCTGACTAAGCCAAGGAGCACATGCAATGCAGGTGTTGTCAAACATGTCCCAAGCACTTGTCCACCATGCGGTCGAACCCTGAGTCGTCAGCCAGTGGTCCCAAGTCCAGGTGCATTTGGACCTCAGCGTGGCCCCTATAGGGTTTAGGGTTTAGGGTGATGGCCTTTACATGCATGTACTGTTTTGTACTTGGAGGTTCATGGTGCTTATAACGCAATCATAAGCTGTACTTATAACCCAGTTATAAGCCCCTTGTGGTTGCCATTGGGTTACAAGTACAGCTATTCTTGGGTGATTAAGTACCATGAACCTCAAAGTACTGCCAGTGCCCTCGGATTCGCAGGCTCGTGGATTCGCATCGGTTGTTGCGGGTTTGGCAGTGTTTGCAGGCTCCGGAATCGCGCGTCGCCCCGGGACGCTGTCAGGTTGGCTTTGCACCTTTGGCTTCCTTTGAGGCGGGATCCAAAAGCCGCAGCCCATAGAAAAACTGGACACCACCGGCACCAAAAAGACATTGCCATGTTCTCCCGACCCCTTTCTGCGGCTTCAAATGCGCTTTACGAAAATTTCGGACCCCTAGAATAGACCCCCAAATAGTAGGATCCCCTTTACAACAAGGACCCCAACAAGGTAGCCCCTTAAGGGCTCTCGCCTGTTCAGGGGTGCCAAGTGTAGGGTTGTTCCCATAAGGTGGAAAAGAGGGCGTTCGAGCTCCCCAGCCGAAACCCGTGCCCGTTTTCATGTGGGAACCCCCAGCTGCAGCAGGGGTTTAGGTTTTTGGGTTTAGGATTTAGGGTTTAGGTTTTTGGGTTTGCTTTTGCCGCCCGCGAAGCAGCTGTAAGCCCTACTTGGAGGTGCATGGTACTTATGAGCCCAAATACAATGGCACTTTAAAACCCAGGCAGCAAAAACCACATTAGGGCATTTAAGGGGCTTATAAGTAGGTTGTAAGTACAGTTTTCATTGAGTGAATAAGTACAGTAAAACCACTGTATACGAAACCGAGACCCTAGATCCGGAGATTTGGGCCATTCGCGGTTGCCTTTTAGCGACGAAGCCTACGGTATACCCTACTCTGGGGCGGTCCCTTTCTTAAAATCCTGCCTGCAAACCTGTCCGGGCTTCCATGTCTAAACACCAACAAATTTTTGGCTGTTGATAAACCCGAGAAATCCCAGAAATCCTACAAACCCTAGATTCCCCAAACAAGCTCTAAACCCTATTACAAACCTATAGGCCCGACTAACGCCTAAAAACCTACAAGCCCTATGGACGAGATTTGGTTGATGTCCGCAGGGGGATTCGTTGATTAGAAGGGCAACGCCTTGCGCCCCAGAGCATTGAAACCTACGGCCTGAAGAGCCCGTTAAAATCGTCATTGAGATTTGTGCTTCAAAAGTCCTGAAATGCGGGGGAGTAACATTCTAGAGCCTTTTTGGGCTGAACAGTCCCAGAATGTGACTCCCGGCACTTTTGGCGTCCCCGTCCTCCCAAGATGCGGGGGAGTGACATTCTAGAGCTTTTCAGGGCTGGGATTTTCGATTGGAAGGCTCATGCCTGTCTGCATATATAGGCTTGGTCTAGTGGTATAGCGTACTCCCGTAAGAAACCAATTAAGAAACCAAGCCTACCCTGTAGCTCAATCTGCCTGGCTACATGGCTTAATGAAAGTGAAAACTAAGAAACTCAGGGTATCCTAGTCCCGGAAAACCGTTTTCTTTTACAACGTTTAATAGTACCATGAACCTCCAAAGTAGGGCCTCAGCCTGATCACCTGCAACCCAGCCTTTGCGGTTCCTTGATCGGTTCCTTTCGGTGGCAAACTTACCTCCGGTATGGTTCGATACGGTGTCGCTTGTGCGTTTTAGGCACGCTTGCAAGATCAACTCAGCTCCCAAGCTGACCGTAAACCCTTCACGCGTAGCCAGCCCGCATGCCGCACGCGCTTGAACCTGGCTTACTTGAAGGTTAGGAAGTACCCCAAATAAGGTTATAAGCAGTTATACTTATAGTTACCCTACTTATAACCCCACTTCTAACTACCCGTGAACAGACTATAGGCTTGGGAGAGATTGCCATCTCTCTCTCGTCTGCTGCCCGAATTGCACAATACTGTAAACCCCAAGGGCCCATACATCAGAACCCTCTTAAAGAAGGTAAGGGACCATACTATGGGGTGTGCAAAAGCGCACCTTCAACCCCCAGTCTTGTGCAACAGCTTCCGAACGAAGGCCCCCACGCGGCCCTCTTTGCAGGCTGCAAGCGGCTCCACTGTGGCCTGGTATGCCTCGGGAATATGGGTATTTCCCAAAATAGGGGGGGTAGCCTTTTATATACCCCAAATAGAATAGAATCCCCTGAAAGGGCTACCCCCATTTTCGGAAACCCCCCCATATGGCAATGAGGATAAAAGCGAGGCCAACCCCGGCCTTCAGTTTCGAATACTTCTTGGAGCTTCGAACCTGCCCAGGAGTGCATCGCAACCACTCCGCCCTCGGCGTTTATGGCGGCTACGTGCCAGACATAGCTGCTAGCAGTCAGCAGCTTGGTGATGTGCGGCCTTGCCAACTCTTTGGTGGCGTTGGACATATTGGACCCAGCCCCTAAACCCTAGACCCTAGACCCTCCCTAAACCCTAAAACCCTAGTGCAGTGGTACGCCTGTCGGCCGCGCCTCGTCTAGCTTCAGAAGCGCCAGCTCCTGAGGCCGAAAGTGCTTCTCTGCTGCCTTCCAACCTTTGGCCTTCACATACACATATATATATATATATACATATATATACATATACATATATATATACATATATATATACACATATATATATATATATATATTATATTAATGTTTATTGTCATTGTAATTACTGTATTGTTTTTTGTTATCATCAGAGTTGTTACACTCAGCTCCGAACTTCCAAGCCTGCTCCAAGGACAAGGCGCATGACGTGGAGACCAAATGCCGCTTCCTGGACACTGCGTCACGTCGTGGCTTCTCACTCTAGGGTTTACGGTTTAGGGTTTAGGGGTTAGGGGTTAGGGTTTAGGGTTTAGGGTTTAGGGTTTAGGGTTTAGGGTTTGCAATGGACGCTTATGAGGCCCCCTATCGATGTCGATGTCCGACGGTGCCTGCCTTGAGTACTCCAAGAGCTGAGCTGCTGTGCTCCAAGGCACCCTGGTTCGCTGACTGCTAGACATCCGATACAAAGGGGAGGCAGCAACCATATCTCCACCGTGCCAGAGGAAAGAGTGGTGCTATGTTTATGCCCTTGGCGAGCTCAACGAAGCCAGCAGGGCGATGTGGCATATGGCGCCATTGCCTGGCACAATGCTTGGATGCTTCGGATATCTATGTGAATATAAATAAATAAATAAACAAGTGAATGAATGTATATATATATATACATATAGAAAATATGTATATTATATATTCATTATGTATGCAAGAGATGTGTATTTACATACACATATATATATATAAACATAGACACATATGTGTATTTACTTACCCGAGCCCTCAAATCGCGGCAGATTGGCCAGGGAGAGGTGGAGCCGGCAAGCAATCGCATCGGCATGGCAGTCGGGCACCAAAGCTTTCATGGCGTCCCAGAGCTGCTTTTCCTGGTTTAGGGTTTAGGGTTTAGGGTTTAGGGTTTAGGGCTTGGACATGGACATGGCGTCTGAGGGACTGCGCATCGAACTCATGCAGCTTCTCCTTTTTTCAGCTCTGTTGTTTGCAGCAAGAGGTGTGGATGGGAGGCGCCTTGATTGAAAAAGTTGATACCTCTTGGCCTCAAATCTCCCGGACGACTGCCTCCGTGCCACCTATCACCCTTGAGCACTCCTATCCGAACCACATGCTGTGGCACAATGTCTCCAACCCATTCATGGAGTGCTCAGTGTTCTTGCTTGCCTTCGGCATTTTTCTGGGTGAGACCGGGGCACCAGCTTCACATCGAGTGGCATACCTGCTCTGCATCGTAGACCCACACGCTCCCAGCAGCCTTGACAAGGTGCGGGTCTACGACGGAGAGCAGGACTACAAGCTCCTGCAGAGGAGCTTGTAGCCCTGCTCTGCGTCGGAGACCCGCACCTTGCCGTCCCTGCCGCCGGCCTCCTGCAGCCCGCCGGACCAGGCCACTGCCCCGCCGACCAGTCGTAGAACCGCGCCTTGAAGTTGTCGGCGGCCACAGCGATCGCCAGGAGCTTGCAGTCCTGCTCTGAGTCGGAGACCCGCACCTTGTCGTCCCTGCCAAGCGACTTCACGAATTGGGCCGACGCGGTTCTTTGGCGCTGGATGGTCTGCTGGCTTGAGCTGAGATGGAGCTCATGCAGGTTTACTCGGCGCTATCTCTGAGTCTGAGCAACTGAGTCTGAGCAACTGAGCGCGACTGCACCGTGAACCAGCACATCATCGGGACCATCCCCCAGCAGTATTGGAACTACAGGGCGGCATCCCAATTCACCAGCCGATCCGACAGGACATCCAAAGGAAAGGTTGAGATCTCAATGAGAGTTTTCTGCTTCAGGGTTTAGGGTTTATAGGGTTTAGGGTGACAGTTTAAAGCAGCCTGCCTCTTCTGTGCAAGCTTCAGTGATGGTTTCGGCCATGTTGACAGCCTTCACGATCACACAAAGATGCACTGTGAGTATTTCCCTTGGCCGGCTGCCTCAGCAAAGTGCCAGGTGATAAATCGACCTGGTTGCGGCGCAGCCAATCTCTCGCAAAAAAGACCCATAGCACATCCTGGCTTTTCTGCACCAGCTTCTCGATACGATACGAGGCCGCGACAAAGCAAGAAGTACAAGCCTGCCATGGTTCTTCGCCACGCATAAGAACGGCATGCACAGCACATGCACAGCTATCAGCCGGCAGGGCCAGCAGCGAGTGTTGGCGTGAAGGTGAACATCTCTGAGAAGTGTACATCATACCTAGCGAAAAATCGAGAAGCCAGAAGACGCTCAAGCACAAACATGCACAACCCACATCATCAAATTGGCCTGTAGTGCCGAGGCCCGTCCAGATTCTGCAGCCACTCCTGGCAGCCAATACTCAATACACAAATCTTCCGCGTTTTGCAGTTGATTTGCCCGTGATTTCGAGCGATGGCTTTGACCAAAGCTCGCTCGCAAGTCTCCTCCCGGCCGCAGCGGAACCTGACCAACTGGACTCACACAGGCATGTCCATGCGACTGTCTTACCGGCACCGCCTAAATCGACCCAGCCATGAATTGAAACTTTGCAGCTGTTCCCAGACCATTCGTTTGCCGAGTTGCGCCAGCTGGCCCGGCAAGAGCTTCTCGGGAGTTCCATCAGCGGCCCATGTCGCAGGGCGTACCTCGTCACACGCTGCTTCTGTCACGATATGTGTAGATCTCTAAATTAAGGTCCCTTTTGGGGGGTCCTCTTTCTAAGGTGCCGTACTAAACATGTAGGACCCAAAAAGGGACCCCCACCACATGCTGAGGTGAGGTGACCTCAGGCATTAAGGTATCGGGGTTGGCGCACAGGCTCCGCAGCAGCCGACACCAGGATGGCATACTCGCCCACGCTGTTCTCCAGCAGCAGGGTACCGCCACCAAACCTTACAGGCCGTAGCCATCACAAGATTTCCAGCACACAACATGAAAAGTCAAGCCAAGCACTGCTGAAGAAGACGGCTCACCTGCGGCTTACAAACCAATCTGAGATGATCCATGTCAAGGCCAACATTCCCAGACTGCCACCAGAAGTCAGACCTTGTTTGACCACGCTCGCTCAGCCAGCCAGTAGCCGCCTTATGGAGTTTCTGCAAGATGTGGGCAGTGAATCTGTAGGCATGCAGGGGGCCAAGCTGTGCTGTTCACAGTGGAGATGCCCGCCCCGCTCCTGATCGCCGACTTACCAAACATGCACTCGCAAGGTCCGTCGCGGTAGGTGTGCCGTCCTGGAATGACAACCAAAGCCTGGGGAACTCGACCCGCGCCACCCGCCCACCTGCATGCTTCGAAACAACCCATCTGAAACTCAGGCAGGCTGCGCACCCCAAGCCTGTCTGAGAACTCCAGGCAAGAATGTGCGACAAGTCCTCGACGTGCGGCGGGAATCGTGCACGGTGGTGCAAGCACGTACGTGAGTCAACACCCAGCCTCGATCCGCGCAAGCAGGCAGGCAAACTTCAAGGAGGAGCTGTGGCGAAGGTTCACTAGAACCTTAGAAGCCGATGAATAAAGGTTTAGGGTTTAGGGTTTAGGGTTTAGGGTTTAGGATTTAGGGTTAAGACCTCTGAGAAGGCATGTGGCATGCTTGTCACTGGGTGGCCTCTGCAGGCTTGGAGTCGTCAATGTCCCAGGAACAATATGGACCTGCCCACTGCGGTGTGAAACATTGCCCTAAACCCTAAACCCTAAACCCTAAACCCTAAACCCTAAACCCTAAACCCTAAACCCTAAACCCTAAACCCTAGACGAGCCTCGCGAAGGCTTCAACGAAACTCTCCGGATAGTGGCGCTGACTCGGAGCTTGTCCCGGTGCAAGGTCACCTCTGCGATGAGACTTCTATGCTACTTCTATACTAGTCTGTTTAGGGTTTAGGGTTTAGAGTTCAGGGTTTAGGGTTAAGGGTTTAGGGCATTATGCTACCCTATACCGTTCCGTAGTTTTTTGTTATACTATTTCTCTGATTCTGTGATTCTGTCACTGTTTCCTGTTACTCTGCTACGTATCATTCTTTTGTGAAACACAGCATTATGATTACGATATGGAGGTTTACGAAAACAGGAGTACCTTCTTGGGGTCCTTATTCTACCAGAACCGTTTGAAGGCCTGTATTGGGGTCCCTTATTTCCGTAAACCCCCATATTATGATTTGTAGTCCATTGAAGTATACACAAACCCAAACGGTGCCATAAACCCTAAACCCTAAACCCTAAACCCAGAACTCGGGGAGGCTTTTGCCATGCGGGGGGGCCTGAAGCCTCGTCGGGCTGTCACAGGGCCGCAGCTCGTCGCCCGTGAGTAAGCCTTGTGACAAGGCAGTGGAATTTTCCAGCTCTCACGCGTGCGCGCGAGGCACTTGGAGGTTCATGGTACTTGATAACCCAATTGTAGCTGTACTTATAACCCACTTATAAGCCCCTTATGTGCCCTCATGTGGTCATACTTGGGTTAGAAGTACAGTTAAACCTGGGTCATTAAGTACCATGAACCTCCAAGCCGGGAAGGCTGCGGAAGGTCATGGTCATGGTCGGCAGTGACTATGTCTTGCTACGTGGTCAGCTACAGAAGGAACAAGGCTGACAAGCCAACACCAACATCGATTCCGACAGCCGACTATGCGGCCCTTCAAAAAACACGGAAAAGCAGGGCTTGTTTTTGTTTATCGGCGCTGCAGCTAAGACCGGCTACATATACACTTGCATTCTGCCTGCCTTGGGCAGATCTTTGCAGCGTTCGACTGCTTTGGGGCTATGAGGGGCCATGTTCTCTGTGCCTTGAGGGCAGCCCAGCGGCGCTTGTTCATGCTGCTAAGCCTGCTCAGTGCATGGCAGACCTCACAAAACAAGGCCCGACTTCCCTAAGTCTACTTCGCCGGAGGTTGCAGGGCTTCCGACTGTCGGAGACTCCTGCGGGTCTAAGCCTGTCGCTGCCACTTTTTCTTGGTCAGCCGAGAGCCTTCGTCCAGTCAAAGTCGGCAGCGAAGCGCTCTTTCAGATCCTTGCAGGCATCTTTGTACTCCTCTTTGCACGTGTAGGCACGATCAAGGATGGTCATCTCGCACATCCCTGCGATGACATGTTGGGCAAAATCCCGTGGGAATTCGGCCACATTGTCCACGACGTGCGCGAAGCCGCCCCCGAGACTGAAGTCGACGTGGACGTAGGGAAAGCCTTTCGGAACAGAATTTCGAACACCACCCTTGGAATCGGTGTCCAAGACCTTCTTGTGAGTGGTTTCAAACTCATTCTCAGCTTCATCCAGGGCCTTCTTCCAATAGGTTCGCGCTTGCACCAGGAGACCCATCTCAATCCTAGCTCATGGTTGGGATAGTATAAAAAAATTGAATTTTCCATTCCTTATTGAGTTTAAGCATCCTTAAAACATGTGAAAAAGGTTGCCCCACTATGACACAGAATCGGGTACGCCACAATGCAGCAGTGGGGACCAGCTCCCAACAGCGCCTTGTCCCTCGAGACGCGGTGCACGGAGGATTCCACGAAGAGAACGGCACGAGGTGGCTGCTCTGACCTATACTGAACTTGGAACCCTAGCAAAAATTATTTCTTTAGCTGCTCCTTAGGGATTATAGTAAGAAAACAATCAAAGATTGTTTCCAAATATCCCTAAGTGACTCGTAGAATGAGATGAGGCACTTCTGATAGTTCCGGACATCCGCCCACACGGCCTCGTCCGCATCGGTCATGGCCATGACATGCTCCTGTGGCACTATGAGCACCTGGCCCGGAACCTTGTTCATTGTTGGGATAATATTAAAATTTAAATGTCTATTCCTTTTTGGGGTTTAAGTACCCTTAAAACTGTAAAAATGTTACCCTTGACTATGACAAAGGAACGATGCACCGGCCTTGTGCCTCCACGCACAGGTATGCATGAGGCGAAACCGACAGGACGGCATCCTTGCGGAAGAACTTCTTGCTTTCCATGCACAGGGTGCATCTTTCAAGGTTGACCTGGATTCGGTTCTTGTCGTTCTTCTCCTGCTTGAGTCGTCTCTCGGCAGCTTTCTTGGAGTCCGCCTTCTTGTCGGCATTTTCGTACCAGCCAAGTGCATAGGCCTCGTCTTCATCCTCTTCCAACATCTTGAACTTATCGCCCCTCTTCAGGATGTGCTTCTCGAAGTTGGCATCATAGTCCTGAACCCCTTCGATGCGCTCGCGGCGCACCAACTCTTCAAGGGAGACGTCGTCATCCTCGTAGTATCCTTGCGAGCCCTTCTTGTCCTTACCACCTGGGACCGCGTTTGCAGTGCCTCTTCTGTTTCTGCCCTTGGTATGGACAGAGGTGGACTGGACCGACTCAACCAGCTTCTTGCTACGCCCCGCTGCGTCGACCTGCTCGAGAACCTTGACATTCCTTGTTCATTGTTGGGATAATGTTAAAAAAAAAGATTCTGTTCCTTATTGGGTAGTTTATTTAAGTACGCTTAAACATTTACAATGTTACCCAACTATGACAAAGACTCTCTGTGTCAGGGGGCGGCAAGGTGAAAGCCTTGCTTTCACCAGCACCAGCAGATGCCTGGTGCTTCTCGAGCCGCCGGTTCAGGTCTTCATAACGGGCCATGTCACCACTCAACATGGCTTCCATCGCCAAGGCACCCAGCTTGTTGGGATCGATGTCATCTTCGACCTCCTCCGCAGCCGAAGCTGGCTTGCCATCTTGCTTTGCAGTACCTTTGCTGTACTTGGACTGCAGCTTGCGGATGACCTCGTCGGCATCACCCTCGTCACCCTCGGCCTCCTCCTGCGCCTTGACTCGACTTAGGACCGCTTTGGCCACCTGCTCTTTCCGGCGCTCGGCATCTCTGGCCCTGCTGGAAGACGAGTCAGACGTCCTTGACCGAGATCGCCGCCGAGAGCGGCTCCGGCTCCGGCTCCGGCTCCGGCTCCGGGCGCCGCCAGAGCGGCGGGAGCCACGAGCTGAGCCACGCCGAGCGGGGCTGCGGCTGGGCGAGCGAGCCGCGCGCTCCGCGCGTGCCTTCGCATTTGCACGCCATCCCCCACCGCTGACACCGCCGCGGCCTCCAGGCGGTTTAGGCTGCTCATCGTCCCTGTCGGGTCGACGTGAAGTGGGTGGAGCCTCGTGCCTCTCCTTGTCTCCGTCGGCTCGATCCTTGCGGTTTTGCATGCGTGCTCTCCAGCCGTTCTTGGCCGCCCAAGGAGTGCCCACGCACAGGTGCTTCGGAATGGAACTGGCACTTGCTGACTCCGGAACGGGAAGATTGGACTCCTCTCCACGAAGGAAAGGATTGTACTCCTTCTCGCTGACCTTCATTTTGTCAGGATCTGGCTTGAGCTTGTCCTCCTTGGTGCGTTCCTTTCCCATCGCACCGAAAAAGTCCACCTCGGCTGCAGCCACCGATTCATCCTGCGGCGTGCCTCCAGTTCCGGGCGTCTGCTTTTCAGACTTCCCTGGCCCATCCTCTTCCTTTGGCTCGGCACAGTTGGAGTCCTCTGAACTGTTAGCCGATGGCTCCTTCTGCTTCCCGGTCTTAGCCTTCTTGCGCTTCTTTTGCTCTTTCCGCTTCTCCTTCTTCTTCTCCTTCTTGCTGACCTTCTCTGCATTCTCCTCCCCCTTGGCCTTGCCAAATTTCAAGCCCGCCAACATGGCTCTCCGGGCTCACGCAACTGAGCATGGCCCACTTTCGGCGCAGCTTAACGTTCTGCCAGTACCGCTAAAGTATGTATGTATTGTTTGCATAATAAAAAATAGATACATATATATATATATAAGCATAAAAACAAGTGTGTGTGTATATATATATATAGTGAAGAATGTTTCATGGAAATTACGACTAAGCAGAAGCATAGAACTTCCGTGCAAATCGAACGGCAACAATCTTGCAACAGCATCTTCGACAACTCGTGGCAAAACAACAATGCGGAGCTTGGCTGCTAGCCATGGAGCCATGAGGTAGGGATCCCACTCAAAAGCTCTACCAAACCTGTCCTGATGCTAGGTGGAGACACTAGGTGGGCGATGCTCAAACAAGCCATGACGGTTTGCTGTAGTATTTTTGCAGGGCAGGAGAGGCTTTGCGAGCACCGCTGGGATGCGCCTGCGTCATCGGGAGCACCCTCCGAGCGCCAGAAACTGTAGCGCCTCGAACGTTGTGTGCAGGAATGTCGAAGCTTCGTCGAGGCATCGTCACTTCGGGGGCGTTCTGAAATTGAAGTCCCTCCCTGCGGAACCTGCACAAGGTATCCAGGCATTCGACCTACGGGTCTAGGCTTGGCGTCCGGCTCAAGCAGAGCACTGGGCAACAAGCCACGCAAGAGGCGCGTGGGCACCTGGCAGCTCGCGATACAAGCTAAACATGATGGGTGCTCCCTCTTGAAAGGTACTTGGGATGTTCCCCCTTACGGTACAAGTCCTCGTCCATAGGGATTCTAGTACCTTCCGTTATAATCCCTATGAAGGACTCTTAGTATAGGGGGGGAACATCTCAAAAAGGTACCTGCAAGAGGACCCTCAGTTTAGAACCAGCTCCCACAGCAACAAGCAGCTCAATCTTCATATTGGGCAGCGCGCTAAGCCCCAATTGGAGGTTCATGGGTAGGTATATAAGTGGGCGTTAAGAACTAGAACTGTAACTAGTTATAAACTTATCTAGGGTACGTATAAATAAATGGGGCTTCTCCAGTAAAAAAATAGAACTACAACTGATTATATCCTTATTACTTATTACACTACTTATAACTGCCCATGAACCTTCAAGTAGCCCTAAACCCTAGACCCTAAACCCGAAACCCTGAACCCGAAACCCTACTGTAGGAGATGATAACCTTCAAGTCAACCATCGCATGTAGAAACCCTAAACCCTAAACCCTCAACCCTAAACCCTAAGGTTAGGCTGCGCGGCATAGAGTTGCCGCCCGACGTCGGCCACCGTCTGCCGATAGATCAGTATGCTGGGCGCAGGCCTGTCATCCGCGTGTTCAGAAACAGTGAGACCCCAAGCTTTCAAAAGCCCTGAACCCTGAGCCCTAAGCTTTCCTAAGCCCCCTGAACCCTGAACCCTGAACTTTCCTAAGCCCTAAACCCTAAACCGCCTTAATCCCTCAACCAGGGTTCAAAATTCCGAGAATCTCCGAGGGCAGACTGAGGCTGAAGCGGGTAAAGCTTGTCGGTGCTTCCTGTGGCCAGGCTCCAACTGGCAGTCCTCAGCTGCTCAGCACACATAGCAGTGCAATAACAAAAATATGAAAAACACAGTATAAAGAAATATGAGCTACAGTAATTTAACACTAGAACTGGTAAGTAGACGGCAAAAACGATAAGACAATAAGGTAACCATGTAAGACTACAATATAAGAACGCAACTATGTAAGTTAGTCACCATGCGCAGGACTATGCACAAATACACGAAGGCTCGGGAACGAGGCATTAGCTGCCTGGGCCCCGGGCTCTGGTCGGTACAAAGGTTGCTCACCATCCTTGCGAAAGACATCAACAGGGTTTAGGGGGACTCTCGCACTCGCAGAAGTAGGCAAGGATTCTGTTTAGGGTTTAGGGTTTAGGGTTTAGGGTTTAGGGTTTAGGGTGCCAGAACATTGCGGCATCTGGCATGGGTTGACCGGACATGCTATTGCAAAAACACCTGCTGATCTACCGTCCTGTGGCACGTGCAGGCCCCATCTGCTGTCCTCCATCCACACAGTCGAATACCCGCACAGCGCTTGACCCAAATCTGGTGCGATATGGCATCTTAACAGCGTTTGAGCATGCTCTTCTCAAGCATGCTGCGTTTTGATGTTTCTGCTTTCAAGCTGTCCGAGCAAAACGCCATGGACGGGTAGAACTGGCGGCCATACCTGCACGTGCGTGAGAATCTCCAGTTTGCAGAGATTCAGACCACGTCCAAACATGCAAGAAGGACTCGACGATGTCGTACACCTGCAGGCAAGGGGAAAACCTTAGGGTTTAGGGTTTAGGGTTTAGGGTTTAGGGTTTAGGGTTTAGGGAACCTAGACGTCTTGGGCAGGTTCCATCTGCGCAGTCAGGTGTATTCGGGCCCATTCAAGCCTCGGCAAGGGGCGGATTCCGATAAGCCAAGACCTGTGCCCCGGCGCGGAAGAGCCGTCAGAAGGCATCACGACTTTGTTTGACAAAGCTTGTCAGACACGTCATGAGATTTCCCTAAAACCCTAAACCCTAAACTCTTAGGGTTTACATGTAACCGTGCCAACCCCCCACCTCTTTGAGCTGGTTGAACTTCTTCTCCTTGTCCTCCAGACTGCCGCTTGCAATCAAATGGGAATTTCCCGAAATGGGCTACCCCGAAAATACCCCCAACATATTGCATGTCTCACTAAGAAGAGCCCACCCAAAAAGGATACAACCCTATTTTGGGAAGCCTCCCCACATGAGTTGTGGGGAAGTTGCGCAAGCTACTGTATGGCCTCGCTCTGCACCACAAGCACCAGCCGTGCTTCGTCCGGCCTACTCTCGACTTTCGACTTTTTGGTTTGGGGGCGTAGGGCTTTGGGGGTTCGGGGTTATTCAGTGCTTCTCAAGACCTAGCAGACCTACTCATGCAAGAGGTCCTTAGTGGAATGTATGAACTAGCACCCAAGAGTAGCTCCAGACGCCTCGCACCAAACTATGTACAGAAAAATTAGCAGCTGCTCCCGTCAAGGGTTGAAGAGATGACAAAAACCCACTATTCAAAAGAAAACCCAAAAGGGTTCAAACAACAACGAATGCGAAGTCCACTGAGCCCGCTGCGACACCTCTTGAAAATGCAGGGCTCCTCGAGGACAAGTCGTGATGCAACGGACGGAATGTCTGGAACATTCTGGAGCCCTAAACCCTTTTCTTAAACCCTATAAACCCTGAACCCCAAACCCCAAACCCTGAACCCTAAACCCTAAACCCTAAACGAAGAAAGCAACAGGCCTGAGAGCTGCAGCGGTGAAAGGACACGTGCCAGCCTGGGACTTCGAGATCATCCCATTATTCGGGTTTACGGCTTGGGGTCGAATAGGGTTTTGGGGGGTGATTATAGTATAAAAACAAGGGGACCATGAGGGAATAAGGGGCCTTAATGAGTAGAACAGGGTTTGGGGGGGTATTGTAGTATATTTCTGAAAGGGACCACTAGCAATTATTTGGGTATAGGGCTTCGGCTCTCACACTCGCACAAGGCAGGCAAGGACTCGGTCGGAAAGTCTGACTTGTGGCCCTTTCAAGGGAGTCCTGCATGTTCACCAGCTTCATAGGCCGGCAAAGGACAGGAATGTTGGTTTACTTTTACGGTGCAGGGTTTTAATGGGGATGTGGCCCCTGATAGGATGAGAGTACCCCCGTTTGTAATCCCTATCAAGGACTGTTAGAACAAGGGGGAACATCTCAAGTGATAAGGTTTTACAGCAGGACCGCCAAAGGGAGCCAGGGATGCTTCCGAAGTTGGATTTTTGTTGGAACTCTGACCATTCTTGATGCCCATATACTACGAATTGCTGAAGAACCCGCCCAAACCAAAAACATGTGCTTCCTTATAAGGGCAATATGAGGTCCCTTTCTTTTTTGGGGGGGGTTTCGAAAGCGCATAGTAGAGGCAGAGGCACAGGCCCTGACAGGAATGTCGATTTTTTTGTTCGCAAGACGATCCTCCTAAGATTGGGGAACATATCTTTCTAGCATGTTTTTACAACCAATTCCTCTACATTATCGGGAAGAAGAGTCCCCCCCCCGACATGCCACGTTCCCGCCAAATTCTGATCAATCCTAAAGCTGGGGCCGCGAAATCCTGTTCTGGAATTTACAGTGAAGGGGAGCGTCTCTCCCTTGCAGCTCTACTGGTTTTTGCGGGCCACAAGGTCTGTTTGGTGCCTTTCCATCAAGTTGCGAATGGAACTCCGATCAGTGCCTGCGTGTCACAGTATGTATGAAACAATGCATTCTTCGGAATCATTGGGGCCCCCATGTCTCTACTCGGGATCAAGACAAACAACGCCGCAGGCTCCGCATGGACCAAGGCTCTTGCCACTTCTCGCCATCAGCAAGCTTGGCCGGGTCATACCTTTCGTCCGTTCTGTCTGAGGGTATTTACATGGTCCCTTGATATGGGCACTTTAAAGGGGTCCCCTTGTATACCCCTTATATACCCTGCACAAATCAAGGGCCCATACATCGGAACCCTTTCAAGGAGGTAAGGGACCATACTAAGGGCCCATGAAACTACCCTAAACCCTAAACCCTAAACCCTAAACGATCTGTTGCGAGTTTGGCCCTATGACTTGCCCCGAACTGGGGGTTTCCGAAAACAGCGGTACCTTCATTGTTGGGGTCCTACTTATCCTTAAATTATTGGGGGTCCTTATTATGAGGGGGTCCTACTGTTTTGGGGATCGAGATTAGGGCGTCCCCTATTTTCGTAAACCCCCAACCCCAAACCCCGGAACCCAAACCCTAAACCCTAAACCCCCAACTCGCAGCCACTCTAGGACTGTAAGAGGCGTGCACGCGGCCGCTGAGCCTGGCGAAGCCAGGTGCATGAGAGAACAGTCAGGGCCGGGGACTCCAACACCCCTGAAGTAAGGAATTTTCCTTAAAAATGTCAGAGAGTTCCTTGTATGATTTAAGGAATCTTCCTTAATTCAGGGGTATGGGAGTCTCTGAGCCACCGCGTCAGATGGGGACTTGGTGCCCTGCGAACTGTGCGGGTCATCATTGGGCGTTCGCTTGTCTGGCTCCCATCCTTGGCGTGGCCGACTACCACCACTTCAGGGTACCAAGTTTGCTGAAGAACCCTAAACCTTAAATCCTTAACCCTAAACCCTCATCTCTCTTTTCTCTTTGTCTCTTTATCTCTCTTTCTTCCTGCTGGGCATGAGGGGTGCCCGAAGGTCCCTCCCCAGCATGGCGCGCCCCGAGTCGTCTGGAGGTTGGCGTGTGAAACTTGGCGAAGAACCAAGGGAGGTTCTGTTGTTTTGGTGCATTCTTCCATGTTCTTCCATGTAGTGTATGCAAACTGAAACACGCTTATCCCAAAAATCACACAACACTATCACGACAATTGGTTCCCCCCGGGCAGGAAGTACTGTGATCCATTCCCAACCCCCTTCTCACTCTCCATTTCTTTCTGTTGTTCTTTGGCTTTGATCTTTCTTTCTAGCGTGGAACGCTTGCCCTCCAACTTTACCCTCTCGCTCTCTCGCTCTCTCCCTCGCTCCCTCGCTAGCTCGCTCTCTCTCTCTCTCTCTCTCCCTCCCACGTCTCTTTCTCACATTCGCTCGCTCACTCTCTCTCTCTCTCTCTCTTCCCTCTCTTCTCTCTCTTCTCTCTCTTCTCTCTCCCCCTCTCTCTCTCTGTCTCTTCTTCTTCTTCTCCTTCTTCTTCTGCGCACTTTATGGGCCACCCCGCCCCCCAAAGAAAGGGACCCGGCCGCGACGGCCAAAGGTTTTGACTTGTTATTTTGCCCTCTAGCCTCCTACTGAACAGCCATCCTCCATAAACTCTCGGGCTGCCGACAAGGCAGGAACGTGACTGCCCCCGCTATGTCTGGGACGGCATGGTACATTGGTACATCAACATCAAAAGGCCGAGGTTCGCTGAAGGTCATGGTGATGACCCACGATCTGCTTCCAGGCTCGATTTGCCGACACCTGCAGGGCTCTGCTTGGGTCTGCTTCTCCCGCTCAGCTCAGACGCCACCGGGCGTGGCAATGGGAGTCCTCTACGTCGCAGCAGTGCACATCGGCGCGCCCAAAGGACTTCTGGAAATCCTGCAGCTGTTCAACTCCGCGAGCGTCCCCAATTTGTCTTGACATCTCATGACATCTCCTCGTTCTCAACCGCCCACTGTGGTACCAGCGACATGCCGTGCCCCTTCACCTGCCAGGTTTTTTTTTCTCCACCACCAGCTCATAGCACATGACAGCATGGCAGTGGGTGGCATTCTGCTGGGTAGTCAGATAGTCAGAGGTCGCATGGTCTAGCAACTAAAGCAACTTGGGGGCCTTGTACCGACCCAAGTTCACAGAAATCTGTGCGCTGCTCTCATTCGGCCCATTCCTGCAAGCAGTTTTTCTCAACACTCGAGAGGTATGCAACCTTGTCTCAGGCAGTCTTGAATGGAGAACATATGAGCATTTTTTTTTTTCATTGTGTGGGCTCTTCTCATGGCATTGACATCCTACGCGGGCCTACGCGTGAACTCATGTTTAGTAGCCGCGCGGCCTACGCGCGGAGTATGTTGTTGACGCGTGCCTACGCGGACCTACGCGGCAGGCACTCGAACAAAGCGCAAACGCATTATTTGACTTGCTATATTGTAGCCACTGGCACATTCGGATTGCTCAACCAAACTTTCTGCCCAACCCTGCCCGATTTTCTGCCCAACCCTGCCCGGTTTTTTGCTCAACCCTGCCCGAATTGTGATGTTGACGGATGGGCTACGACGTTGAAAACGACACCTACGACTACGCGCGGGCTACGCGGAGCCTACGCCGCGCCTACGCGGAATTCCTACTTATATGTGCAGTTATACATAGGGATATTTCGATATACATATAAATACATTTTGTCATAAATATAAATATAAACAGAAATATGAGAATATTCTGAATCATATATATATATATATACATATAATGATAAAACCATATAGTTACAGTTATATATATATATATATATATCTCAATTAAACCAACAACCTACGCGGACCTACGCGGACCTACTGCGTAGACTTGCCTACGCGGACCCTACGCAGACCTACGCCCTGCAGGCAAAATGCTACGCGGCCGACTTTCAATGTTCGCGTCTCTACGTGGCCTTGCTTGTAGAAAAAAAACGCTGCTCATATGATTTACCATCGTAAGCCCAAGTTTTCGTCTGGGGTTGCGGCGTCACCCGCGTGAGCCAGCGCTGGTACTCTTCCTTTGGCTGCGGCCGGCGCCACTCTGGCTTGGGTGCTGCAACCTTCCCGCAAGTTGTCTTGGCGCAAATGCTTGTTCACCGTTTGTTCTTGCAAGCACGTGCGTGGTAGTTCCCTCTGACGGCACCACCTTTGGAATGTAGTCTCCTGGTTCAGCTGGAAGTTCAACCTCATCGTCAGCTGAGATGCTGCAGCTCTGCCATAGATGCCGAGACGTGCTGTCTTCGGCGATATACTTCAAGGCCAGTTGATCTCAGCAGCCGGCCCACTCCATCCCCTCACAAGGCATTTCACAGCTGCTGTAGGCTTCGGCTTGGCTGACTAGAGCGACTAGTTGGGATGTTCCCCCTTATACTAACAGTCCTTAATAGGGATTAACTTTGGGGGTACTATAATCCCAATGAAGGCCTGCTAGTATAAGGGGGAACATCCCAAGTGAGTAGAGACAATCCGAACTCGCATGGCATCGTGTTGGGCCTGCACAGCTTCTCCAGCGTCCAGGCCATCGACGGTGCCTTTGAAGGTAGTTCCGCAATACGGCCAAACGTACCTCCTCACCCACATGAACTTCCACTGCCTCTGAACGTGGCCACCCACTCGACCTCGGTGCAGGCTGCGATGCCTTGCATGACCCGGTCTGACAAAGAGTGTCTTCGCACAGCAAACCCTAAACCCTAAACCCTAAACACACAAAAACAGATGTTCTGAGCCATCGGACACGCTCTAGAACATCATCGGCCTCAAGACGAGCATCCGGAACGAGCGAAGTACATGGGGGCTTACGAAAATAAGGGGGCCCCTAAGAGAGTGGGATCCCCCTGTAATTAAGGACCCCAAGAAGGTATCTTGGGATGTTCCCCCTTATACTAACAGTCCTTAATCGGGATTGTAATAGGGGTACTAAAATAGGACTAGTATAAGGGGGAAAATCCCAAAAGGTACCCCGCATTTTCGGAAACCCCCAGAAGGGCACGTGGTGAAGGCCTCGGATGTGTGTTCACGCAGCCACTTGGCCAGCACACTGCGTCGGCCTCAGCCAAACCACCCTGCCAACAATGTGAACCCGAGTTTGTTCCGAACTTGAGCACCACGCCTTCGAAGATGTCGAAGAGCTCAAACTCACAAATGCCAAGCCTCCGCATCATGCTTACAGCCGGAAAGCAAAAATGTTTAAATCCACAAGTGCCAGTGCCAACAGCTACAACCTGCACCCACGCCTTGGTGCAGACGGACCTGAAAATTGAACCAGTAGTAAGAGGGGCTTGAAGAGCTGCGCATTTAAGTCAAAGCAGTTGGGGAATCCTGCTCTCCTTCTCCGTCCTTGCAAACCACCTGCGGGACCGCGTGCGCATGCAGCAAAGGAAGGCGCATCGAGCATGCCAGCCTGTGGTTCACGTTGAGGAAGGCCTGCTGAGAGACTATTTGGCTCATCTGGTACTTGCAGTTGCCAATATCAGGCACATCAGCTGCAAGGCATGACAAGGAGCCTGAGCCGCTAGGAATATTGCGGCGCTTCGCGTTGTGAACTCGACCCTGCTGCTAGAGAGCATGCCGGCTCATATAGCTTCACATTGGATCACGCGCTCCGGATTCGAGAGTCTCGCCCATTCTTGCCATAGATCAGAGCAAGGTGGGCATAGGCCCTGCAGCCGCAGACCTTGGACACTCGATTCTAGCAGCGATCCCGGTGGCAAATTTCTCTGGGCGCTGACCAGCAAGTCCTCCTTCTTTTTTGCTGCCACCTGTATTGCTCCAAGGCACGGAAACGAGGCACGCTCTCTCCCCGCGCAAGACTGCCATAGTCATCGTCTGTCCGGTAACATGACACAGATGGGGTGTCCTTTGCCCAGTAGAGGAGCATGTCTGCAACCTGCGGGCACGGGGCTCGTCACGCATCCGGGATCAGGATGCAAAGGGCATCATGACTTCTAGAATACTTGAAGGTTCAGAGGTTATAAGTACCTAAATCAGGTTCTAACCCGTTCTTATGATAGTTCCCCTACTTAGAACCCCACTTATGACTACCCCTGAACCTCCAAGTAGCCCTAAACCCTAAACCCTAAACCCTAAACCCTAAAGCCTAAACCCTAAACCCTAAACCATCCTTGCTCACTTTGCCGTGGACTGGCGTGAGTGCCTTGCCCTCCAACACCTCCCGCAGCTCAGCATGGAGCCCCTGCAGCCAGCTCCTGGGACGCGGCCCCACAGCCCTAAACCCTAAGCCCTGAATCCTAAACCCTAAATCCTAAACCCTAAATTCTAACCCCTAAACCCTAAACCCCAAACCCCAAACCCTAAACCCTAAACCCTAACCCTAAACCCTATGCACCCAAAAGACGTGGACATCGACTCAGCAACTCAGCAACCTCCCAAGGCCGCGGCAAGACCTCCTGGCCGGCCTTGTCTTCTCCAGTCGGCAGCCCCCGCACCTTGGGCACCAAGTGTCTCACGGGGTTTGGGGTTTAGGGTTTAGTGTTTAGGGTTTCGGGTTTAGGGTTTAAATCCTAAACCCTAAACCATCCTAAACCCCTAAAGTCCCTCAAATCCAAGCATGTCCTACACTCGCTCCTCGCATGTTCGTCGGTGCCTTCGCCTCCCAGTGGGCACCTGCCCTCTCGAGGTAAGCTCCAGTCCTTTAACTCTGCAACTATATGGCCGCTTCTCTAAGTTATGGCCCCTTTTGAGCTACTACTATAAGGCGGCCCCTAATATTCAGTCCGGGTGCCCCAGCAAGGGACCATGAATTTTCAGAACTGACTATACAGTGCGCAGGGCAACATAGGAAACCCACATGGCCAAGTCCTGGCGTGGTTCACCAGGAAGAGCAGGTACGATTGTACACCTGTACACGCAAGCAGGCCATGATGTGGACATTCTTGGCACCAGGCCGCTAGCTGAGCTTGTGGCGACTGGCAAGGCGAACCAGGTAGAGAATCAGCCCCTGCCCCCCAAAAAAAAATAACAGCCCGCAGCATTCTCCTGCAAACTCTTGCTGGAAACCTCATTCGCGCTTCCGGGGTGCCCAGGATCTTTTTCCACGGCCACCTTGATCCCAGAGCCACAGGTCAGTCTAGGGCTTAGGGCTTATATAGGGCTTAGGGCCTGGGGCTTAGGGTTTTTCTGTTTAGCTGAACCGCTCATCTGGCTTTTTTCGGCTGCATGGCAGAACCCTCGAACACAGGGTGTATGCCTCCGAAAGACACGATGCATCTGCACACATGATATGGTATGTCTTATGCTTTCTTTTATGCTAGAAAGAAGCAAGCACATCCAAGCTCATGACATCCAACAGCAAACGGATCGTGTCCAGCACCACCTGAGATTCATTGCCAGAAGCATGTGTCCAAGTGACTGGCATTTCCACAGTTAGGGTCTAGGCTACGTCTTGGGCGTGGCACAACACCGTGCCACAGAAAAGTCTGTTTACCCACAAATACCACTATCGAGCGAAGGCAGCATTGCTATATAATAGACAATGTATATATATATATATATATATATATATATATATATATATAATCCAGAGCATATAGCATGTAACATATAATGAGTCATTTATCTATGACCTATTAACATAACATATACCATGAAAAATATAGAAGTATACACTCATGAAGGCCAAGCTGACTCCATCACTACGGCCTCAGGCTGTAACCCTGGGTGACTGCAGCAGCTCGTTGAAGAGAAGCCTGGCCAAACATGTGCGGTTTTCTTTTCCCACCCGATTCGCATGCGTTTACGGGGAAATGTGTGGGGTTTAGGGTTTAGGGCACCACGGGCTCTGGTAACAACAATCCATAGATTGCCATAGATGGCCGAGCGCGAGGCCCTGCGGGCGTGGCCAAGTGAGAACGGTCCGGTGCTGGCACTGCTGTGGGTGGCCCTGTAGCAGCTGCCTCGCTGCGACGTGCTACAACATTGTGACCGCTCCCCAAATTAATAGTAATCATGCTACTAGTAATAATAACTGTAAGAATAAGAATTTATTATTATTAGAATAACAACAATGTTAATAAGAGTAGTAATAGTAATAAAAAAAAAACATTCTTTTAATAATCAGCCTCGCAAAATCTGTCCATGTCCGGCCTGCTTGCTTTGCCATTGCCCTGGCTCGAAGAGAGCAGCATCGAGCACCGCCTGTACCGACACGCTTCAAGTCTCATAATATTACCATTGTTACTGATATTATTAGTATTATTATTATTCGCATTTATTACTATTAGTTATTATCATGATTATTAGTCTTCTTTAGTTTTTATGATTACTATTATCATTGAGCGCAACTGAGCACGTCAATGAGTTCAGCCATTTCGGAACCACCCCTCCCATCCCCCCCTTGCGCCGCGAACCTCACAGCACACAGCACGACGTGCTGCACAAACCCTTCGCTTCTAGCGATTCACGCCAGCTTGCGATTAGGGTTTAGGGGTTTAGGGGTTTAGGGGTTTAGGGGTTTAGGGTTTAGGGTTTAGGGTTTAGGGTTTAGGGTTTAGGGTTTAGGGTTTAGGGTTCGCTGATGAAAAGCAATGAACAACTCGCATGAACAGGGCTGCGTGTCCTCGGTGAGGAACTGCCAGCCCGTCTACCCCACACCCCTCACCTCCCAGCCCTCACCCAAGTCGTGCTGCGCAAACCTCGTCGTCTAACTCAGTTCCTTCGCTCCCTGCTCTTGGCGTTCTGGCTCGACATTCATTCGCAATCGTTCGTCCAGGGCGACTCACAGTGTCCAGCTAAGGCCAGCCACAGCTCTTTGTCCGTTTGAGGCTTGCCCCCCCCCCCCCCCTCATGCACCAACATCCAAGTCGCAGGCGCAAACAAGGCCGACTGCGGCGATTCAATGCTTTGGTTACCTGCAAACCCTTGCCTGCAGCAGCGGCTCTCGCAGCAGTGAAACACGTTCACGGTCGGCAAAGAACCCCAGAAGCAGCGGCACCCGAATGTAGGGAGCGGTGAGGTACCTACAGGTTCAAGCCGCTCAAGTCCATCATCTCAGCTTGCAGCTCTGACTACAGTGCGCACGTGAGGAGCAGCTCGCTATCGCCAGGTTTCAGCGTCCTGGATGCGCTCTCAAAGTTTAAGCAACAGTTTTCTTGCTGCTCCTGACCCTGAGTCGCAAGCTCATTGAAGTTTGGCATGTGCTCGAGGAAGAGCACGTCATCCTGAGCATCCGTATGAGACATGACACCTCGCGACCAAAATCTCTCAGATCTTCGGCAGCTCCTCTGTGTGGATCTCGGAGCCCGCAAGGACGCTGGCGCTAGCAGCGCTGACTGCCTGCGGGGGGGATTCGGAACTGCCGCAAGCGGCACGGAGCGGCGAGGAGTCTCTGGGGGAAGTCCTTGCTGCGAGATTTGTACTTGCCGAAGAGCCAGTCGAAGGGTTTCTTGATCTCAGCAGACATCTCAGCCATGGAAGCATCATCTTACAGGCCCCGTCCCTTCCCTCTCTTCTCTTAGCCCTGCACCACCTCGCCGATGCCTTTCTTGCCCTCGCGCAGCTGAAGATGTATTCGGACCCGCTCTATTCCTTTAAGACGTGCAAGTCAGCCTCTCTTCTGGATCCTCCCCTTCCGAACCATGGTAGCCCAGTAACATCCAGTAGCCATATTGCAATAAGGGCACCCTTTTTGGGGTTGGTTGCTTTTGTAAGGGAACCCAGAACCCAAAAGAAGTGTAAAGGGTACCACCGGGCTAGCAAGGAGCAATCATTGTAATCACATTAGGGCCCTTAAAGGGGCTTATAAGTGGGTTATAAGTACAGTTACAAATGGGTTATAGGTACCCTAAACCCTAAACCCTATACCCTAACCCTAAAACCTATATTATTATTGGGGTATTAAGTACCATGAACCTCCAAGAAATCCTCGCGCGTTCGCCCCTGCCAGCCTCCTCAGGCACCAATTCCATGTTGAACGCGCGCACCACGAAGTGATCCTCCGCTTCCATTCCGGGCATGCAATGATTGAGGGTCGGGGTTTAGGGTTTGGGGTTTGGGGTTTAGGAATTAGGGATTAGGGTTTAGGGTTAGGGTTTAGGATTCTGGGGTTCAGGGCTCAGAGTTCCATCGTGAGCGCTCCAGCCTTGCGCCAGGACCATTGCAGGATGGAGTCGGTCGCCTTCGAAACAGGCTGTTACTTAATACCCCAATAACATAGGGTTTAGGGTTTAGGGTTTAGGGTTTAGGGTTTAGGGCAAGAAACTGCCTTGAACTTGGGACGTTCCTCCTTAGACTCGCAGTCCTTATCATCGGGATCCCATCCCCCCTACTCTAACCCCTTATTAAGGAGCTCCGTAGGTCTCAAAAAGGAGAACATCCCAGCCCCTGAGCCCTCGAACATCCTACCCCCCTGGTAACCCTGGGTGCGCGCACCCGCCAGGTGCCCTCTGGGGGTCCACTTCCGCTCGGCAGGATCAGCATCTTCCAGAGGAACACCACGTCGCGAAACCTTGCGGGTTTTTAGGGTTTGGGGTTTAGGGTTTAGGGTTTTTTATGTTAAAAAAACTTTTTGTTGTAGCGTCGAAACAAAAACCTAAACACCACGTCGCGAAACCTTGCGGGTTTTATGGCCGGACGGCTCCTCCAATGTTTGCCCGTTTGAGGACTTGTTTGGGGAAGCATGCCCAACACTCTCGAAAGTGACTTCTAGGGAGGATCCAGAGCAGCAAGGGTGGGGGACGGCAAGTATCTGGGGATCAGGCCCGCAACATCCACGAATTCAAAGGGAACAGCACTTGGAGGTTCATGGGTAGTTACAAGTGGGGTTATTCTCTCGCTTGAAACTGTTATCACGACCTGCTGCTGCTGGTGTCATTTAAAAAGAGAATGAATTCCATTTCCAAGATATTCCAAGGTCATTTGAAAGTTCTGATACACTTGTGGTTGGTGCGTGTGCGAGTTGCACAGGAAATCGAACAAAGTGAAAATACATGCCTTCAAGATCCGAAAGGCCCAGAGCCTCCAACTGGTCGAAGTACTGCCACCACAGAAATCTATAGAAAACTCACTGACTTACTGGTATTTATGATTGTAGAATAACAATAGTAATCATAATCGTCAAACTGATATCTTACTCTTCTGGCTGAGGAGCAAGAAGCGAACATGACATGAAGTGTGGTTTCAACGCCTTTGTGTGCTGCAGGCTTGGCTTGGCTCCCCTACCACCACCACGCCATTTCTTTCAAGCAAAACCTGCGGCCTAAAACCTGGCCTTCAACCTCAATTCACCGGATGTGACCGGTGGGACCATTGGGACGTCTGGTCTGACAACCTGTTACTACGGTGAAAGCAGCCACAGGATACTGCTGCCGCTGCTGCCCTCGAACCCATGTTATTGCTATTGCTATTGCTGTTGCTACTGCTAATGCTGTTGCGCTTGCTCTCGCTCTTGCCCTTGCTACTGCTCTCACTCCTGCTCCTGCTCCTGCTCGTGCTCCTGCTCCTGCTCGTGCTCCTGCTCCTGCTCCTACTCCTGCTCCTGTTCTTGCTCCTGCTCTCGTGCTGCTGCTGCTGCTGCTGCTGCTGCTGCTGCTGCTGCTGCTGCCGCTGCCGCCGCCACCGCCACCGCTACTGCTATTGTGCTGTTTTGGCACGCGCTCTCTGCTGGCAGTGCACAGCGCTCCCGTTGCTTTCCGAGGCCGCGGCACATGTGGCCGAACCCCCAGAGCATGCACACACTCAGGACTTTTCATTGTGCTGTTTTGGGGTGTCTTGTTATGTGTTGATTTTTGTGAGTGGCTTGATTGCTGTCCTCATTTTGTACTCTTATTGCTTGATGTTTGTTTGTGCCTGCATGTGTGCTTGCGTGTGCATGTCTATGTGACGTAGATTAGATGATTAGATGTAGTCGTGTTCCCGTATTGGTTGTCTGTGAGTACCTCTGTCTGTGGCTGTTTGCTGTTGCTGCTGCTCGCGTAGGGAACCGACTTCTGCTGACACTGGTGGTCCTGCTTTGGGGATGTTTTTGCGGTTTCACTTTGCCAGCCGCCCTATCAGGCTCAATGTGGGCACGTATTCGGTTGAAGCTGTTGACCTTCCGGCATCCTCCAGCCATACCGGATAGTGCCAGGAATGAACTGTTAGTAACTGTAAAGCAACAAGTCTCTTTCGTTGGACCCTGAGATGTGCACCAGGCCAATTCCAAGAACAGCTCAAGGAGCTCAGGCCTCAACCACCGATGCGCGTCACATCCAACGCAGGGTCATGCAAAAGATCTGATCTTTGATGCAATTGCGCGCCTTTCGCCTGTGATGAGAAGATGAGCCTCACGTCGGGCGGCCGGCACACCTCCAACATTTGGCGTGAGGCCCCGGCTTTTGAGGGAAGCATTTTTCAGGCAGGGAACTGCGAATAAGGTCACTTCTCTAAACTCTAAACGATGGTCAATTTCGGGGTCCTTATTATAAGGCGGCCCCTCTTATGTAGGGCACCCTACAAGGGAGCACAATTTAGAGAACCCATATGCTGAAATTGGGCAAGGTGCCAATCGACAGGCCGATCTGTTCCATAAACCTGGGAGCATGCGGCTAGCCGTGTGCTTGGGGAAACGCCTGCGTGAAGAATGTGAAAAATCATTGCATGGCACTAAGGGCTTGTGCACGCATACGCACACACACACACACACACACCCGTACGCGCAAACGCACTTCTCGCATGTGATGGACGGAGCTAAAGCCAGGCAATCGACTTCCGATCTCCCTCACCGCAGTTCATTGACCTCGACCACATGGCTTCAAAATAGCATCAGAGAGTCAAAGAGCGAGGATTCTGGAGTCAACTAAACCCTAAACCCGAAACCCCCTAAACCCTAAACCCCCTAGACCCTAGACCCCAAACCAAGGGCAAACAGCCTGAGCCCGAAGCTTGTCAAAAGAAAAGATGACGTGGTCCTCTGGCAAGCCTCGGCCTCAATTCGGGTTTAGGGTTTACTCGGCGCTGTCTCTGAGTCTAGGGTTTAGGGTTTAGGGTTTAGGGTTTAGGGTTTTGGGTTTTAGGTTTAGGGTTTAGGGTTTAGGGTTGTTCTGCACTTGGACTCTGACCCCCTGGTTCTGAGGAGGGAGGTTTAGGGTTTAGGGGGGGGATGGGGTGCCGAATTCCTTCATCCCTGCTAAGAACCAGTAAGCCGAGCATGTCTTACCCATGCTGCAATCGAGCATCGGATGGAAGTGAAGTAATCCAGAACCAGTGATCGCAACGAAGTATACCTAAGTGCGAGCTGTCCGGTTTCTTTGGCACCTTCGGATCAACGTCGTAACGATAAATGGGGTCGGAACTCTGGCGCAACCAGAAGTAAGCTCTCAGACGCCTGGTGGAAGTCACCAAGCACATGGGAGTTTCCGAAATTAGCGGTTCTCTTTTTGGGGGTCCTTCGGTCCTTCAAGGGGATTCTATTGTAGTTGGGGTCTTTGAAAGGGATACCCCCCCCCACCCCCATTTTGGGAAATGCCCGCATCGAAGCCAGCAAAGCCTTCTCGAAGCCACCGGGATCCAGCCCAAACCTTGACTCAGTGTGACTCGGCGAAAGTCAGTCATAGGCTGTCTGTAGAACCCTCCCTAAACCCAAATTGTCAGGCACTTCGTGGTCAGGGTTCGCCACACAAGCGCCAACTGACAGAATCAAGATGCTCATAGCCACATGGGCGTGTGGTCGCTTCGGGCATGTCCGCATTTACGGCAGGGGGTGATGGTGTTATAGTGTCTTGATGTATTAGGGTATATTGGGGTCTTCCCCTCTTCCCCAAAACAGTTTTTGTCTGACCCTGGGAGTACAGGAGATTCATATAGCCTCTCCCCACGCGCGCGCGTGCGCGCGCGCACGCACAAGAGACGCCAAAGTCCTCGACCCCCTCTGTGTTTCAGTGACATGCGCTCCAGAGAGCCCGCAGACGTCGGACAGCACCCTAAACCCTAAACCCTAAACCCTAAACCCTAAACCCTAAGCACACAGCATGGTTGGTGGCGTCGGCAGATGCGAGTCCCGTGCGCATTCCATGCGGGAAATCGTGCTCCCGATTTCGTGCTCCCTCGCGTGCACTTTTTGGGGCTTGTGCGTGTCGCGAAACGTGGCTCTTGGATGGGTTAGGTCTGCCCGGCAGCCGACGTGGCTGGGGGTTGCTGCACCTGCATACATGGGTTGGCCTTGCTACGGACTTTCTGGGTCTTTGCTTGTTGGGAGGTTTCTTGGTACAGGGTGCACATCAACGATTGACATTCTGCGAGGTTCTTCAAGCTTGCTGCTGCAGCTTGCCCAAGGTGGGAAAAAGCTTTACCCTCTAAGCTTGCTTGTGCTACCCATGCTGCGGCAGGCAACCTGGTTGCCGAGACTTCCTGCTTGTGAAAGCCTGGATCCATTCAGCGCAAGTCTAGGGACCTTGCATCGCGGTGGGGCCCTCAGCCTGAAGGCAACAAAAGTCGCCGCAGACCCAAACCACGAGATCTCACAAGCACAGCACAAAGTATGACTGATCTTATAACTGTACTTATGACCATGTTAGGGCACTTCAGGCTTAAGGGGCTTAAGTGGGTCACAAGTACAGTTATAATGAACCATTGGCCGGCCTTCCCTGAGTAATGCAGCGTCACCTGACACCCGAACTGCTCGAGCACCCCACGATACTCCATGGCACTCCTGACACCTCCACACGTGCTCTCATATCCCCGACCCTTCCCTAAATCCTGAACCGCACCTGTGATGCATCGTTCTCACCGGTTCCCTGGAAGTTCGACTCGTGACGAAGGAGGGCATCCATCACCTGCACTTTGATGCGCTGCAATGTAGGGTTTAGGGTTTAGGGCACAATCCCTCCAGCAACTATCTCTAGGGCAGGAGCAGCTGCAAGACCACCAGCCTTGGCTTGCGACCAGCTCTAGGGACGTGGTGCAAGTGTGTGCACATTCGTCGTGCAGCACGGACAGAACAACTGGGAGCGTTCCAAATAAGGGTCTCACTACTGTGACAGCTATCTTTGAGCGGACATGATTTGGAACAACCCCCAACAGATCCAAGTTCGGCACGACACAAACACGGGCACCTGATATCTCAGCACATGCTGAGCTGTGCTCAGCACATTGCGCCGCATCTCGCTACGAAGACAAGCTCAACCTCGTGGACCAAATGAACCCTAAAATTGGGGTCATATACCCCATACTACTATATATCCTTTTAGGGTCCATTTCGTCCCCAAGGAATGTAAACTCATGCCGACACGCACCATCAGTCTCCCGGTTCTCCTGGAGACTGAAGGCTGCAGCTGCAAAATGTCGTGCCTTACTCGGGTCAGGGCGTATATACATGCGCAGGTCTGCCAAAGGAGCTGCTGATTTTCGCGGTCGGGCAAAAGAGTCCCCGCCGCAGTTGTGTTGTTGCTATAGATCAGAGCTTTACGGCCTTTTTCGTTCCGCTGTCGGGCGCGCTTTGGCCGTTCCGTACCAAACAAGTGAAACGTTAAACCATCTCCTCACTCTGCAGCCCCTTCCTCCCCCTCTTCCTCCCCTTCGTCTGAGCTGGAGCTGTAACCTAGCCCAAGACCTGTTGACTCTGTTGACCCTTCCTTGCCTTCGGCTGGCTCTGCCTCAGTGCTGGCTGCTGGAGCAGCAGCGGGACTCTCGGTTGCAGGTGGCGCGGGCTTGGCCTTCTTCACGGCCACAAAGCCAGGAAGCTTCTTGTCCTTGCCTTTATCGCCTTTGTCCTTTGTGGCCTCAGGTACCCTAAACCCTAAACCCTAAACCCTAAACCCTAAACCCTAAAACCCTAAACCATAGCGAGAACTGTGCTCAGATGTGCTCATGGCGGGCCAGATCGCATGTCGCGCACCCCTGCGTGCCTCAAACATCTTCCAACACTGGCTGCATTGAATGTCGCCTAAAGCCCTAAAGCCCTGAAGCCCTAAAGCCCTAAAGCCCTACAGCCCTAAAGCCCTAAACTCTAAACCCTAAACCGCCATGTTGTGTTGCAGCGCTTTTTATATGATTCCTATGATTATTTCTAGTTTTCATATGGTTATTGAGATTTAGGAAACTCACATCGTCATTGTTCTTGAAATTGTTCTGACTGTTAGAAATATTTTACTGTTTTTAATAAACAATACTAGTAGCTCTTTTTTGTGGCAGTCACTCGACAGCCTGCACGCGCAGCGTGAGAGATGCGCCTTTGGCAGTCTGAGCCTGGCAAGTGGAGGTCGCATCATGTGTTTCATGTTCTTATGTTGAATCAATCGGTGGCGATGATGGGTTCAGGGTTTAGGGCTACTGTTAACTTACTCCATGGTCTATGGCAGGACTGGGGATGTGCTACCTAAAGGACTTTCAACTCCCTCTCGAGCCTCTTCAAGGAGAGCCGCCACTTCTTGTTCGTTTTGTTGCTTTCGCTTCAAGGAACTTTGGCGCTCAGCTTCTAGGTCTTCTTGGCTCGCAGTGGCCGATGCAAATGCTCGCGCATTTGCGGCGCTGTAGCCTCTGGCACAGGAGCTCCCGCCCAAGTCCGCGTGCCCAGAACAGTCCCACGCAGCAAGAGATAGCTGATACTATGTGATGATGTGCCAAGATACGGTTCACCTGGCTTGCATGGATTGCCGCGCGGCCCTTCTGCTCCTCCTCTTTTGATCGCCAGGTGGTTGAGTTGGCAAACATGCTGTTGATCCTCGCTTCAACAGATCATGTCTGCGCTCTATGCCAGTCTGGCGGTAGGCTTCACAAAAGCAAGCGGCACAAGAAAGGAGGTCCTCTCGCTTGAAGTTGCCATGGTTGCAGATCCATTCACAACAACTAATCGTTCTTTTCAACTAAGGGATTTGAGATCTACGCTGCGCAGCCAGGAAGAGTTGGTGGTGCAGCTGCAAGATGCAGCTGGCGCATGCCTAGGAGCTGGACGATCAGGTACAAGTGGCGCATCAAATCCGCCTGCAAGGCACTGGCGGCTTGTGGGACCAAACGTGGCACAACTGCATGTCATCGCCTGTGTTATGGCTGAGCAGGGGCGGGAGTCAATCTGTACTCTATCAACCATGTCATGCTACAGAGGATCTGTCAAAGCCTGTATGAAACAAGCACCTGTGAGCGGAGTGGCCACATGAAAAGGCATGAATGAGGAGAGACACAGGGACGGGCTTGCATTCACCTGTCATGACCAGCCGTGGAGAATCCGATGACAGTAGTGATTCAAACTTCTTGAGGCCCAAATCATGTGCCGCTCGATGCCACTCGGCTATCCAACACGACAGAGGTTTATGAAGCTTCGTAACGGTAGCCTGCAAGAGCCTCGCACCCCCAATTGACAATTGAGCAACCAGCCTTGGTCTCATAGACCATTTCCTGTGCCCAGAAGCATAGTTCAGCCTGGCCGCCCGGCTCAGTGTTTGCCCCGTCTGCATGTGCGCGGACTGCGGCTAAGGTTTAGGATCATCAAGTGTGGCTACCATTAGGTTTCCGGGATGTGAAGAAAACCGGCTTGAGCTCATAGACCATTTCCTGTGCCCAGAAGCATAGTTCAGCCTGGCCGCTCGGCTCAGTGTTTGCCCTCTCTGTCCGTCTGCATGTGCGCGGACTGCGGCTAAGGTTTAGGATCATCAAGTGTGGCTACCATTGGGTTTCCGGGATGTGAAGAAAACCGGCTTGAGAAAAAATGCTTCTTTGGACAGGCCCTGCTGGGCTTATTCCATCCCGTACGGCTTAGCTCTGATGTTTTTTTTCCCTATTGCTCCGTTCTACTTCTGGTCCTGCTCTGGCTTCATTCTAAGCCCAATTTTAACATTTCCTGCAGCCTGTTCCACCGATAGCCCATACTTGACAAACAGAATGCCAGCATATGGTCCTTGCGAGGATGATCCAGAGGCAATGGCATTGGAAGAAGCCGCCTGGCACTTCACATGGGCATGATCACTGCACATGCCAACTGCAGCACGTTAGTGCTATGACCGCCTTGCCATTGCAGCAAAAAACAGGCACAGCAACCCAACTAAGCTGAGACGACTCAACGAAATCAGAATGACATCGCCAAGTGTCCAACCGCACCCAACCCACACAAACACGGGCAAATTGGGCCGCTGGCGTAAGCAGATGGGCAACCACAGCGAAGCAGGATGCGGGAGCGTGAGATATCTGGTCCTTCCATGTGCATGCGCGGAGAATTTGCGGAACATTTCACCCTAAACCCTAAACCCTAAACCCCAGTGTCTCTGCTTGCCGACCGGAACAAGGCCTGCTGGTTGATAAGTAAAGTGAGCAGTTGAGCCTGAGCTGTCTGGATCCGGCCACGGCTTTCTGGTACATACTTCTATCTGGATTTATATACATTAAAATCTTGATTCTGTGTATATATATATATATAGACACACATGCGTTGCACTGCAAATGAGGAAGCAGCCGTTAGGCGGCAGCAAGACGCTGCCTCCAGCGGCGTTCGGACCGAGACTGGCCTCAGGTACAGCGCCACACTGCTGTTATACCGAACACCGAATAACAATAACAAAAATAACAATAAGAATAGTATCAAAATAGCGAAGATAATCATTACACTGCTGGGAGTCTAAGTGCGTTGCAGGCGAGACGTCAACACCTGAAAGCTGACATGTGCATGCGCAAGGCGCAAGTTGCTTTCGTACCCGCTTGGGGCGGTGCCGGGATGAGGATGCGAGGAGGATCCACTTCCCCTTTCAGCTTCTCTACATCCTCCTTCACCATGCGCTCAAAGTGGGAGAAACCTCATGCAGCAGCAAGAAATGCAGGCTCACGGCAGGCTCACTTCCTCTCGTCTCAGTCGAGCTGAGGGTTCTGCGAGTGGCCGCTTCATCAAGAGCCGGCAGGGCTGCAGTGGGCGGCTGTGCCTCTGGCGAACATTCTCATGCCTAGACAGGAATGTGTTGATATGGCGTGATGCTGGCGGGAACATGCGCGTTGTGTGCCAAGTCGAAGGCAGATTGGAGCTGGCCATCGGACGACTCGAGAGCGGCGACTTTGTCCAGAACCCTGCCAGGCGTGAAGGTGAAGAAGTGCTGCGCATGTGGTTTTTGGAACGGCTTCACCTTGCCCAGTACTCTGCTCACACTCAACATCCACTTCCAGGCTTGCAATCAAGCTGTGTAAACCGAACGCTGAAAGAGTGAGCCGGAGTGGCCTTTCGGTAAGCCCACGGACCTCCCAAGGTTGGCTCTTTACTGTCCTATATACCCTCCATACAACCCAGATCTTCCAAAACTCCTTAATTAAGGAATATACCCTAATTCATAATAAGGATCCTTAGTATAAATTGGGTTATTTCCCTTGATTAAGGGGTTTTGGAAGATCTGGGAACCTCACAATCACTCTGCTACTTGCATGAGAAGGTCCTTCTCATATGCATCTGGCGGCGAATGCCTGGCCCACGTTCGCACTCGAAGTGATATGTATGCGCCATCGGGGGGTGACCGACATCAGGGGGGGACAGTATCTTATTGGAATCCTTATTCCTACTATGTCGGGATCTATATAGGGGGCCCCCGTATTTTTCGTAAACCCCCATCTGCTTGCCGCAGCCTGCTTGTCCCAAAATGCTCTGCGTGCTCAGTTGCAGTCCGGCACAAGGCCTGTGGCAGGTCGTCTTTTTTCTGGGAACATTCTTGGGGTGAGAGGTCTGGCAAAAGCAAAAGGCCCTAAACCCTAAGATCCTAAACCAAACCCTAATCGCTCGACTTTAATTCCGTTGGCCTCTGAAACCTAAAACTATCTTGGCTTCCGGGCAAGAGCATCGCAGAAATTTGTAACTTTAACATAAGATAACATAAGAAGAGCTGGCCTGGCTCTCTCTCCCTCCGTCTGGTGCTACATACAAAACTCTCTCATAATTCCTCAGAGAACGACAAACTTAACGCCACTAATTGGCGAAGTCTTACGCATCCCAGATGCAAGTTCCTGTCCTGCGGAACGCCCTTGTTGACGTGTGATCCCACGATTCCGGTCAGTACTCTGTTTGCGCGACCTATGGACCCCTGCCACCACGAAATCGCACACCCCTAAACCCTAAACCCTAAACCCTGGCGCACCGACGCAGCAACGTGAACGAGAGCCAGTTCTCCAGGAGTGGTCTTCGTGGCTTCCTCAGGTTCACTTGCAGCTCCCTTCCCTGCCATTCCACAGAAGCATCTGGGTGGTTGTCAAAATTTAGGGCTTTGGGTTTAGGGTCCAGGGTTTACGGTTATGGTCCCTTTTTGGATCCCTATTATAATCTGGCATCGAATATTTTGGGTACCCCAAAAGGGGTCATAACTGTGACAACCACCCATCTAAGTAAGCGCTGCTCAGCTGGCAAAGCCTGCTCGATGGTCCTGAAACACCCACGACAGAGAGGCACAGCATGGCACAGTTCACTGTCCATGTTGCGCAGGACTGTCGTCGCAACTGCCGTGTACTGTACGCAGTGTGTACTGCATCAAGTCATTTCAGCGCGCGCGCGCGCGCGCGCACTGAGCTCGCGACTCCAGCAAGCCAATGCGCGTTTGCACCATACTCCACCACGAAGCCTCTCCCACTCATCTGATCACGGCTGCAAATAAAAACGTGGGTCGGCCCTCCTACTCGCCTCCTCTTTTGACAGGCCAGCAGCCGCAAAGCAAAACAGAAGGGCACGTTCGACGCACAGTGCGAACGACTTGTCCTTAGACGGTGAAGCCACTGACGGAATATGGCATGCACCTGCTTGCTTCTTGCATCTTGCCGCTGCACTCTTTGTCGATCTGAGGCGCGGGCGCCTCCTGCTGGAATAGGCATGGGCCTGCGAACAAACCCTCGTGATCCTCGTGGCAACGCAGCTTGCGCGTGGACGTGGTGAACGCAAGCAGCCAATTACGCGCTTTGCCTCGTCCAGCTTTCAGACCTCAGAAGTGTCTTGAACTTCAAGATGAGAGGCTTGTACTGTATCCCCGCTACCGCCATATTCTTGTTGTTGTTTTATTGCTATTATCTTTATTGATATTATGATAGAACTATTGCTATTATGATTAAGCATGCGCCGGGAAGCCATGTCAAGTCTGCCAATGACCCACAGACCCACAAGGGCGTGGCTCGGGGCCGCAGTTGGCTCTCAGCGGCTTCTTGTTTGCGAAAGGAAGTACCATCCCATATAGGAGCCGTGGCCTGTTTAGGGTTTAGGGTTTAGGGTTTAGCAGGGACTTCCAACTCATGCTGCTCCAGAAACGGCGGGGTTTACTGACAATGCTACATAGGCACCCGTTGGAGTCGCATGGAAAGAGCAGCTGACGATAGATGAGGTACCTGGCGCAGAGTGACGTAATGCGGGGCGCAGCTAAACTGCTTCTGGCATGGGGGGCGGACCAGAATCCGCTTGAGCACAATCCGGCGCGACTGCACCCGGAAAGCACCTTGCAGCAGCATGCGGGTGGGATGAGAGCACCGCCAGCTCGTTGAAGGTCCCAAGGTTCTCCAAGGCCCACGCCAACGTATCGCGCAAGGGCAGGCTGGGATGTGGTGCTTGTCCACTAGCCACTACAGGATGATACCTGCAGCATGGCTGCGAATTTAACCTGCCACCCCTTGGCTTGGCAGCTGAGATGCTGACTGTAAGCCCTCGCCAGTGTTTACGACCTTGAACCCGGTCACTACAGTCACCGCCGCTTGCTATGATGTTCTCCACGCAAAAATTCGGTGGAAGGCAACGCACCTCTGAGGGGCTCGCAGCTAAATGGCACGTCTCGCTGCTGTCTTTCTTCCCCCGGACTACGACAAGCAACCTCAGCGATGCGGCAGGTATCAGAAAGCTGATCTGGAACGACGAGCTCTCCCGGGAATGTCCATCTCAACTATCTAGCTTCTGCCTGGCCCGACAGATATTCTGTGCGGGCAAAGGTCCCGGCAAACAGTGTCCAGAGTCGTCTGCCACATCTGCCTGTCGCAGCACAAAGAGTGTTGGCTCGACTTCAACCTTGGCAGGCTGAGTCACCCTGGGACATGTGGGACGGCCGACACTTACCTAGGATGGCCCATAAAACCCCTTGGAAACAAACATCCTGAGTATGATCCTCTTAAACCCAACCACGGGAAAACATAAAATGTCCCAACCCTAAGCCCTAAGCCCCAAACCTACCGAGTTACTATGGTGTTGCTTGGTGGCATGCATGTTTCTGCCTCATCTTTGGAGACAGTGCTGCGCAGCCATCCTCAGGTGACACTGTTGGGCAGACGGATCCTGAACGCAACATTGCTAAATGGACCTCTCTCTAAATTATGGCCCCTTTTAGGGGTTACCATTAAAAAGGCGGCCCCCAGTAGTTAGCGCACCCTAAAAGCCCTATCGAATTTAGAGAAGCCACCACATGTAATTTGAGCACCTCTAACCACATGTCCAAACGTAAGATGGCAGGGGAGGATGTTCATGTTTCTTGGGATCGGCAGAAGCACAGTGACGCGGACAGGGGGGGTGGACGACTGGAGCGAAGCGTGTTGTTTGGCATCCGGCTGTCTTCCCAAAACGTGCGGACATTCGCAAATGCCGCCAGCCATGTTGAGGTGAATTGAGAACTTCAATATTTGGGGGTTTACGATATTTGGGGTACCTTATTGGTCCCTTGTTATCGTACACCCCGATTTAGCACAAGCTACTGAGTTGTTTTACAGAGTGCCCTTTTTAGGTGATTCGGAAAGTGACTGTTTAGGGCTTATAAGGGTTTAGGGCTTAGGGTTTTTGCCACCTGCCTAGCTGACACTCAGGCCACATTGTAGGGACTCGTTCCGAGAATGATTGCCCATAGAAAGAGAAAAAACTGAGGCTTGGGGTTTAGGGACCCCGAGACTAAAGTGCTTGGGATGTGGATTTGTCCCTCCCCTTGATTGTCCAGATCTGATCTCAGGGCGTTGCCGGCTGGAAGCAATGCCATGCCTCCCTCAGGGACCTCGCAGCCATACAGCGTGCGCGCAACTTGGACAAGCACAACCCTAAACCCTAAACCCTAAAAGCCCGCCTGCTTCACCAACTGGACCACCTCCACAACGAAGGCGTGGAATCGGGCTTCAAATGCGGTTACCTGAGGACTCGCTCTCTTTCCCTTGGCACAGGAGCTGTGGCCCTACTTGAAGGTCATGGGTAGCTATAAGTAGGGTTCACAGTATCCTAAATAAGATTATAACTTATAACCAGATATAATTAAAGTTACCCTACTTAAGACCCCACTTAAAAACTATAGTTAGCCTACTTATGACCCCACTTAGAACTACCCATGAACCTCCAAGCAATTACAGCAAGGCCCATCTTGGCCACCAGGCTTTGCCGTGCTCAGCTGCCACAGCATCCTCCCCAGAGCACAAGAATTCTGCAAACCCTAAACTTCCTCAACCCTCGTTGACCGGCTTGTCTGAGGGCGCCAACCCAAAACCCTAAACCCTAAACCTTAAACCCTAAACCCTAAACCCCCCCTAAACCCTAAATGGGCACCTCGCGGAGAAGTGGTCTCGGCATGTCCTCTCACAAACTGATGGCAACATCTCACATCTCAGGGAAGTTACGTGGTCCCCTACTATGGGCCAACAGGGTTTAGGGTTTAAGGTTTAGGGTGTAGGGCTTGGGGCTTAGGGTTTAGGGTTTAGGGCTACTTGGGAGGTTTGGGTAGCTAGAAATGGGGTTCTAAGTAGGGTAACTAATAGTGATAACTGGTTATCACCTTATTTAGGGTACTTATAAGCCGACATATAACTGCCCATGAACCTTCAAGTATGGGCCCTTAAAAAATTTTAGAAAAACTTATATGCCTATACCTCAGAACTCTTTAAAGAAGATGCCCGTAGCAGTCAAGAGGAGGCAAGCAGCTAAGAGACTCCTTGGTCAGATTCAAGCAGCGCTTTAACACCTCAGCTCCGGAAGCTTCATTCTGCAAGGGGCAGATAAACCAAAAACCCTAAACCCTAAACCATAAACCCTAAACCCTAAACCCTAAAGTGCCGTGTCTGGGAAGCAGACTTCGTTCACCTCCGTTACTTCGCGCGGGGCGGCATGCTGGGCTGAACGGCCCAACAGCCCATGGGCGACCTGCAACGCCTGAGGCCCCAGTGTGAACTTCCAAAATGTCAATGGTTTAGGGTTTAGGGTTTAGGGTTTAGGGTTTAGGGTTTTTTGCTGGGGTTTAGGGTTTAGGGTTTTCTCGGCGCTGTCTCTGAGTCTAGGGTTTAGAGTTCAGGGTTTTTTTACTCGGAGCGGTCTCTGAGTCTGAGCAACTGAGCGTGCCTGCACTGTGAACCAGCCCCTAAACCCTAAACCCTAAACCCTAAATCCTAAACCCTAAACCGTGACCCCACAGCAGTACTGAAACTACAGGTCCCAATTACCAGCCGATCCGACAGGATATCCAAACAAGATCCTGAATAGGACTTATAGTACCCCCGAGTAGAATCCCTATGAAGGACAGTATAAGCGGGAACATCCCAAGGTTTGGGGTTTAGGGTGTAGAGGGTTTAGGGCCAGGGCATGTTGGTTTGCGCATGTTTGCGCAACTTCTGGCCTCCGCCAAGCTGTCCAGACTTGGTGCGGAAACACTCGGCGCGTCCGGTTGATCGGGGCCTCAGGCTGCTGTGCCAAAATCATGCAACCCTAAACCCTAAACCCTGAACCCTGAACCCTAAACCCCTTTCAGCACCTGTAAACACCAAGGGTTGGGCGGAAGCCCTGGAACACCTCACGTGCCACCAGGGTCACAGATAAGGAGTCCTAAGTACATAGCTGGATCATACCCTCGCCTTACCGATGTCCGGCAGCGCAGCCTCCGCAAGGCACTGGAATGCAGTTCAGACTTACTCAGAGAAGCCCGCTCCCACGCATAGTGACATCCAGAAAGTAGCACCGCCCCTTGGGAGAAAAAAAAGAATGAATTCCAGTACTCTGTTCCCGACCTTGGGGTCTGCAACGAACTGAGCAAAAGAACTGAGTCGCGAGTTGAGCCTAAGATTCAGCTCGCTTCGTCGAAACTGCCAGGGGAACTTCTGCGGCTTGCACCACGAGTCATGTAGGTCATCAGGGGCAAAGGGCATCGTGCTCGCAAACAAGTGCAGTACAGAATGGCAACATGTCTCGCAGTCACTGTAAGTGTGGTGCTCGTCTTGCGCTGCAGACTGGAACAACTTCAATTGCCGCTTTGCCTGATCGCCGACTGCTAGTGGGAACAAAAATTAACAAAGCAACACGATACCTTGGGATGTTCCCTCTTATACTAACAGTTCTTAACAGGATTTGTCTTAGGAGCTACTATCATCCATATTAAGGACTGCTAGTATAAGGGGGAATATCCCAAATTATAACACAAACACAAACACAAACACAAACACACACACACAAACACAAACACACACACACACACACACACACACACACACACACAGACACACACACACACACACACACACACACACAAGCTCCTGCTTGACGACGCGCGCAACACCCTCCTCAGGCTCCTTGCCAGCCGTGTCAGCCAGTGAAGGACACATGCAGGTGCTCTAACAGCTTGTAAGTGTGGTCCTCCAGTTCTGGCTGATAGGATGGAAGGACCTTATCGATGGCACAGGAGGGGATTTACAAACCGTACTTTGCGACCACTGGAGCAGTTGTCATGAATCCACAAGGCTTACCTTCTTCCATCGTCTTCTTTTGCTCGCCCCACATCCCTCGTTGTTCTGGCCAGTTTTGTCCCCTTTCAGGATGCATGCCCCGAAACGGATCTGTTCAACACCTCTATCATAAATCTTGGGAGATTGGACGCGTGCTGCTGAATGACATCTTACGCTGAAAGGAATCTAGTCTTTGAAGCCAATCTTGGATTCTTTGTAGCAATGACCTTGGAATCCTTCGCAATATGGGTGGCAAGGCACAACATCGCCCCCAGCAAGATCAAGAACTGCCGGCGTTGCCAGAAGAGGTCGAAGGCCTCATTTAACAAAAGCGATGCATACTGCAAGCTCGTGACGACGCTTCGGTGTCATGGGCAGGAAATTCCCCCCCCCCCCCCCCCCCACAATCTGAAGCTCTTTGGTCGCCAGTAGATTAAGAGGTGCGCCCACGTGCTCCATCAGGCGTGCGCAGCTGCCATGTAGCTTGTCATCCAGAGGTTGGAAGACTTCTTTACGGCAATCCTATATTTCAAGGACTTGGCTCGGTGTGGGATGCTGCTTTGAAGCGTCTGCTACTTAGACTGGTGCACCAAGCTCGCTCTTTGTCGCTCGGAAGCCTCACGCAAGCAGAAGAGCATGGATCCATCATCTTTCGATAAATTTGGGATGCCGATGCGAAAAATCATGGGATTACTGCCGCCTTCAACAGCCACCGACTAGAATCACTATGTTCCTGTTCCCCTGTTCCGATAATCGCCGCGTCGGTCTCAAGAATTTAAGCTAAAAACTCATGCGTTTACAGAAAGACTCTGGTTTCAAGTGGGGGAATCTCTACAAGGCTCTACAAAGCAGAGTGCCCCACAAAGAGTGCACGAGGGCTTCAGCTCCCGCCATCTGCACTGCGGGAACAGCTTTCGGACGCGGAATGCCTAGTCGGATATGTCCACGAACCCCAACTTGGTCCAGGGTTTAGGGTTTAGGGTTTAGGGTTTAGGGTTTAGGCCACAGGCATCGGACAGGGCTGGAACCCGTGGTCTGCTGCCCAAAGGGGAGGTTGCCACGGACGTACCATGCAGCGGCGGAAGGGCTTTTTGTTTAGGGTTTAGGGTTTAGGGTTGAGGGTTTAGGGTTTAGGGCTTAGGGCTTGGCATTTGGCTTGGCCTGGCTCGGTTGGGGGCTTTGTTTGCTCAGGTGCGGCTCAGGTTTTGTTGCTTAAGTGCGGCTTGGCTTGGCTGACTTTCTACCTTTGATAGTAGGAATTCTACGAAGCTTCATGGGATTTCTAGTAACATTGTTTTTCTTCATGGGGGACCTCTAAAAGTATTCCTATCAACTTCAAGCGGATTGCTGATAAACTTGATGAAACGCCGCTTAATTTGCTAGCATGATGGCGTTGGCAAGCAGGCTTGCACAGCTTATACGAGCGGGGGCTCTGAAGCAAGCTTGCACGGCCTAAACAAAGCAAGCACAATGCCGGTCCGTGTGCTATTGAAGCTAGCTTGCACGGCTTGAAAGAGGGGGGGTTCGGGGGGGTTCGGGGGGCGCGCGCACCCCCCTCCATCCAATTCTCCAATGTGCAATCACAAGGATTCATCTGCTTTGACTTCTGTTCACGTTTGCAAACAAACTGCTGTTTGGAAACGTCAGGCCACAAGCTCATGGCAACACGAGAATGAAAGCGAATCAGTCCGCGTGAAATTATATGAACGGTGATATGGGGGGGGGGGGGGGGGGGGCCGGTGCTCTGTCAGTAGAATGCACCGCAAGCATGTCCACAATGGGCCGAGCTCATCAACAATGTTTGTCTTCCTGTTTCTGATGTTGCTATCAATATCATTATCACTCTCATTTCGTACTAACAAGAAGAAGAAGAATAATTTCATAACAATACTAATAATGATACTAATAACAGTACCAATAGTAGTAAGAATACTAGTACTGATAGGAATGAACATAATGACGTATCCAGTTTCTAGCCTGTTTTATCATAGCCACGTCCTTTTGCATTTGCTAAGAGTTGTTTATGTAGTGATTGTCAATAAATTCAAAATAATCTTCCCGACGAGTACAATATATAATAGTGACGATAGAGCCAAAAGCGCTAACGTTGTGACAATATCACCTGCTCGGAGTCTGACGTGGTCATCCCTCGCAGTTAAGTTGGCCGAGTCAAGCTGCCATGATGCCAGCATGTGGATCTTCATTTGCTCCATGTTAAGGTCGATGTAGTGTACCAGGGCGTCCGTGGACTTGGTGGAGTCGCCGGTGGTGCAGACATTCAGACTCATGCCGGTGAGCCTACGGCATCGAAGTGCGAGGGGTTTGCTGTCATTATCCCTACATGAGCTTCAGCACTGCATCGGTTGTGCACAGATTCCGAGCACAGAGACACATGTGAGAAAGGGTTCCCACGATGGGGGGCTTTTTTGCAAGACTTCGGGTATGTTTCGGGGTATGATTATGCACTTGCCCAACGTCCCTTCTCCGCCGACCCTGGCGGCGTGTTGGAAACGGCACCCCTCAAGTTGGCCCCCAACTCAATCCGCGTCACGGAAGATGCCGCGCTCTTCTTTTTTCTTCTCGGTGGGCTGCCGTGTTTGTGGTGTTGTGAATTCTGCTCCTAGTGGTCCTAGCAGGTGCTGCAGCATCTGATTGACGTTCGCGGCTGGCAGCCCGCAGATGGGAAACAGCAGACCCAGCGGAAGTTGGAACACGTTGAAAATACAACTTCCCGATCTGTTTTCTCAGAGGTTTTGCTCCAAAGATTCCCTAAACCCTAAACCCTAAACCCTAAACCCTAAACCCTCGCAGCACCTGCACAACGCCATGCAGGTGAAACCCTGCTCTGCCTTCGGCAGCTCAGCGGCGCACTGCGCTGCGCAGCACAGCTTCCGGCCTACTGCATGCCTCTGCTCCCCTTAGAACCCTAACAAAGACTTACATTTTGTTAACATCCTCTTGGGTTTTTTTATATAAATAGAAATAAAATAATTCCCAAGGGGGATATGGATGAGCTTGAGACGGCTCTCAGATGGCGGCTTCCTTGGGCGTTCTGTCCATGAGCTCCTCTTGGAACAGCCTTTCAGGGCCGGGACATGACAGGCGAATCGATTTTTCTAAACCCTAAACCCTAATAAACCCTAAGAAACCCTAATAAATCCTAATAAACCCGAATAAACCCTAATAGACCCTAAACCCTAAATCCTATCGATCATGACAGATTCATGCAAAGTCTGGCAATCCTGCCTCTGCATCGTTCGAACAAGATTTGGAGGCTCAACGTCTTGACGACTCATGCGGATGAATTCCAGCTCCTAACATTTCATCATGCCGAGTCCCCCCAACTACCATCAAGATCTCAGAAACCCTAAACCCTAAACCCTCTGTCGCGGCCCCTCTCGCAAGCTCCAAACTCCCCTGGTCCTGGCTTCGAACTACGGACTTCAGTCTGCTGTCTTCGCTTGGTGGCTTGGCCGCCTGACTGTGCACCATATGATCACTGGATGGTTCTTCGTAGGGAATGAGGGAATGCGGTACCCCATGTAACCCCTTAAAGGGTTACATAGGGCGCGAATTCCTTCATTCCCTACTAAGAACCAGGGGAAGCATGCAGTATGCAGGGAGCTCCAACATCGCAACTTGAGAATTCAGGCCCCGAGCATGCTGGAAAAGATTCGCTGCAATCTGCTTGATCTTGCTTCTCCTGGGAACGAGGTGCCCCAGAGTTTGACCCAAAGTCGTCGCCAGGAGCTGAGGCAAGAGCGTCGCAATTTCGCCAAACGTGGAGCGGACCAAGGCCTCTGCCTCCTCGACGGACCTGTGCGCATCAGGCGGTGCTGAAGGTACTCGCAGGCACTCATCACTCTACTCCCAGCACGCTAAACCCTAAACCCTAAACCCCAGACCCTAAACCCTAAACCCGAAGCATGCCTCGGCATCTGGGAGAGTGCCATTGATGGAATGACCTGCTAGTACCACTCTCTGTCAGAGTGGGCACCCACGGCACATGATTCTTATATTCTTATATTCTTATCGTTATACTGTATGATATCATATTACTATAATACGATATTGTTACATTACGCTTCCAGTGCACGCCACAAGCTTCTGTGCATTGACGCGTGTAGCCTACAGGGCTTTCCATGAAATAACGAACCCTTCCGCGGAACCCTTGCGCGAGTGCAGTTTCTACTCGTCCGCCGCGTTTGTCTCCGCGGACGCTTTCCAGAGCTGGTTTCACTCTTTGAGAAACGTTATTATAACACATCAATATCATCACATAAGATACAAGTATAACACTATGCAAAATACAGTAATCTAACAATATAGTATTCTATACATACAATTTAAGATAATACAATAAGAATATAAGAACACATATCAGAATATAAGGCGATAAGACTGTAAGAATAAAATAAGAATATAATCAGATACTAATATACTAATAGAATATAATGATATAATAGTATAATAATGGAAAAAGAAGAAAATAGTAATATAACCATATATCATATATAGTAAAGATTATACCATAATTGTTATTAATATCACAATATAATAATATAATATAACAAAAATGCTATAACAATAAAATGATATAATGATATAAGAACATAACACTATGAGAATATAAGAAATGGAAAAACACAAATATACTAACAATAACAATGTAATATGAGAACAATATATTAATGAACAAACAATGTAAGCATGTAAAATAGAATAATGTAAATGTAAATATGAAAGTATAACAATGTAATCATGTTCTGGTATATTAATAAAATAATATAATAATAAAACAAATAATCGTATAATAAAACACCTAATAAGATAATAAAATAAACACGTAATCATGTAACAATATAGTAATATAATAATGCGAAAAATAGAAACAATAATGTAATAACAATATTTCTAATACGTAAGGTCATACAAGAACAGTACATTAATGATAGTATTTTCATATCATAATATGAATCTATTTAAATAATGATATAATAATTTGATGGGGCGTCCGCACAGGCGTGCTTCCGCAAGCAATTTCGCATGCTTCCGCGGCCAGAGTCCCATGCACTTTCGCGTCCCGGTTCCCGGAGTAATTTCCGTACGTAATTCGCCTCGACTTCCGCCCCGAAGCCCCTGCCCCCCCCCCCCCCCCCCGCATTAAGCCGGCCGGGCTGCCGAGGCGGCGTACTCAAGCGTTTAAGTTTAACTTTTAGCAAAAAGAAACCGCTGCTCACCTGAGTATTATGCACGAGATACGGATCGCCACGCGCATAGGAACTGAGTCCGCCGAAACAGCTTCATGCTACCTACTTCTCATCGATTTATGCGGCCCCAGCAATGGGATGTAAGGGCCGGCAGCTCGGACGTCTGCTGAACGAAGGGAACATGTGCAAGTCTGAGGTCGGGGCCTTCTCCTGATTGTTAGCCTGAGCAAACACCCTTTCGCACGGTAACTTTTACATCCAGGCCGCCGGGTAAGTATGCGCAAGGTAAATGCACTAAAAGCCTAAAACCCTGAACTAACCGGATCTGATCTGAGGCAAGAGATTGAGCCGGTGAAATCCGCTGAGGCAGAGACTTCCAGTTGGGCAGCATGCCTGCGACTTAAAGACAATAAGCATGACTCAGCATGACCCTAGTTCGCGGCAACATGTGGCAAAACCCTTGTGTTTTGTTGCAGCGAGCTGCTTCAGCACAGGTGCGGCAACTTCCCGTCACGCGTGTAGGCTAAGTCGTGGACCCCAGGGCGTGCCCACCGTGTACTCCTGGCGCCTTGCATGATGCAGTGTGGCAGTACACCCAGCCTGCCAACAATATCAAAGATGATATATATATATATATATATATATATATTGTATATTCTGTATTTATATTTATTTTTATATTTATATTTATATTTATATTTATGTTTCTATTTATATAAATTATATATATATATATCATATATATATAATATAAAAATAAATATTCCATATTTATATGTGAGATATATATATATATATTCCCGACGCTCATCTTCAAGAACCGGCAGATCCCATGCAGCGCAGCCTGGCCTGATTGGTCTCGAGGTGGCGGTGCATCCACTCTGGCCTGGAGCAAAGTCACCACCATGCTTTTTTTGTTTTATGCCTGGGTGCGCAGGGGCTCCTTGGCAGCGTGCTCTGTCAAATGTGGCAGCTCATTGGCTGCGCGGAGTGTGCTGAAATTTGGAGACTTCACGGGGGAACAGCGAAGGACGTTGCGGGCTACCTCCACACCTCAAATCGGCAGGCGGTGCAGTCAGTTCCTCGCCAGCTGTACATGTTCGAGGTTCCGCAATGTCGAAACACAGAGCAGTAGCTTGTGCAAACGCCCTTCTGCAATGGAATGCCGCCGTCACCACTGCCGCCATCACGGCAGTGCGGAGAGTAGCACTTGCTGTCGCATCTTCTGGATGGTACCAGGACTGCGCCGCATGAAGTGCAGTCGACAGAACCTTGAAACTTATAAGCGGCCGAGGTGCCACAAAATCCGAAGCTGGAGCAGTGGTGCGTGCACTTGCCGTCCACCAATTCCACCCCACCATCCCCCCCGCCGGCTCTGCAACGCTCACATTGTGATGGACAACTCGTTGAGGAGATTTCGTCTGCTGCCGTCTGCACGGTGCCCAGGGACCCGTGGCGCTGCAAAGCTTGTAGGGCACACGAGGAATCAGCGTGTAAGCAGTCATCATCATTGGGCAGGGTGCTGGTGATCATGACTTCCGTGTCGGTTGTTTCCGCAAGCGCAAGGCTGGTGTGAAAAGCCACCCACAGCAAAATCAACGCCATGGGGGCATGCAAAAAATGAGACACGATCGCTGCTGTAGGTCTCGGAAGCTTTGGAGCCTACGCAAAAATGGCATGCATACGCGCTTGAGCCCAAAATGGCATCATGCGTTAGGGTTTAGGCTTTCGGGTTCATTCATCACTTCCTCAAAAAGCGCCGGGGCTCCGGCAAGCGCATCTCCCTTACAAGCCTGGTCTTGGCGGGTGGATGCCTCAGCTGCTTAGGAAATCCTGTAGCCGCCGGGGTGCCGTGAGCGTGCGCCATGCGCAATGTCTCCCCATGGCCAATATCATAAGACGGTGGGACTAACTAGGTGGCGAAAGACAATAAACCCTGAACCCTAAACCCATGGCATGCCACATGCATTGGTTGCTCTCTGGGAGAGTGCGGAGGATCCGTGCAGGGGGCCGCAGGTGGCTGCTCAGGCTGCCACACGCCCATAGGCAAAGGAAGGATTCCACTCTTTGTGGGACGGCACCTGGGTAGTTGCTTGGTTGTCACATCGTGTCAAGTCTCGCTGTAGGAAAAAACCATGGCACGAGCAGCACACCACAGCACATTTCCCGCATACAACACGTCGGATTGGGCTGCTGAGCTTTGTGCTTCTCCATTGCCTGAAGGCGTCCACTCTCCGAAAAACGAGGGTAATGAGAGACGCCGTGTCACAAGCTCGGCCTTCAACACAGCAGCCTTGAACTTCTCGATATCATCTTTAAAGCCTGTACCGGCAAGCATGAAAACGTGACATCCGCCCATCGCAATAGCAACAACATCGTGCACTTGCCTGGGTTGGACTTCTCCAGCACCTGCGGCGACAGCAAGCTGGACGGCCGGTCACGAATTCCTGCGCCCTACAAGAATCAAGCCACCAATCCTTCTTTTGAAGCAAGGCCTCGTTAAGTCCATGTGTTTTAAGGTCGGAGGCTTTGGGTTCTGAGACTTTTGAGCTTCAAGAAGCTTGGCCGAACATGTACTCAGGACAAGACACCCTGAAAGACTTCGAGCAATCAGCAACTCATCTTGACATGGGAAGACGTCAAAGTATGTCCAAGTGCTTGTCGCGGGGCCACAATTTCTCGAACAAGTTTTCCCAAGAAGCAACACATCTGAATTTGACAACTGTATAGACCGCGGGGTCAGCTCTTATCAGGTTGGCATGCTCGGTTCTTTTTGTGAGGTGAAGATGGTTTTCAGGGCCCAGCCAAGAAGATCTTGCTCCCTGACATTCGAGGGCCTCTTGGATCCTCCCAGCTACCAGGACCCTCGCAGGCTAGCCGCAGGCTTGTCAGCATGATGATGTAGGATGCGACTGGCAAGCGAACTTTTTTTAATTGAGAGACTGCCCAAGCGTAGGCATGTATGTTCAGAAGCATGCGCTTGAAGCTGCAGATAGGCCGATTTCCTTCCATGCTTAGGTTGCGCCTTCCTGTGTACGTCCCAGACCTTACCAGGACCCCTTTGACAGGCCTCTTACTGAAATCCACTGATTCACATGCTGTCACCCCGAGCTCATTTGACTAGCACGGATGCCGCTGATCTGCATCGCCCCGCCATGAACTGCTCCATGACAGCTAGGCGGTGCTGCTGCACAGGTCCAAGGCCTCAATGGCTCAAAGTTGTCACAGGGTTCGTATTTACATGGCACAGAAGCAAATGCAATCCACCAGATCGACCGCTATGGTCAGTTCTCTTCAGTTGGCCATCCATCCACAAAGAGAAAAAAACCATTCCTGAGGCCGAAGCCGCTGCCGGCATGCCGTCGCATAAGCTCCAACCTCAGCACGTAGACGCTGGCAAACGACTATTGTGCAACGTTTTGGCCCAAAAGTAGCCAAGGCAGTGGCAGGCTGGTAACCTTCTGGAAGCGAAAGAAGTCAATGGTGATGCGGCGATTATACACCTGCAAGGCGATTCGTTCTTAGCGATTCGTTCCCAAACAGCGGGCTTAGGTTCGGCTTCAAGAAGTGAAGACCTTGATCTTGTCATAGTTTGACCAGAACCGGAGCGACGGCAGCGACCTCAGCCATTGCTTCCCAGAGCTCAGCTGTGCGATTTGAACATCGTTCCTGGCCGTCTAGGGGCCCAAGCTGCTGCAAGGATCTCTGTAAGTGCATGCACGGATTGATGAGTTGGCCTGAGCAAAGGTTGCATCTTGATCACATCAGATGCCCTACTCTTCTCAAGTGGGGGCATCTGTGTCGAGAGCTGTATCTGTAGCAAAGCTCGATGAAGTCTTGAATGCGGAACCTCTCAGTTGTCGAGGTGCTCATGAACATGACGGCGCTGCTCATGAAGCTGTGCACCACGAAAGCTCCCAGGACCCTTGCTTTGCCAGGGGAAGCTTGGCGAAGTTGATGGAGTTCGTGTTGAAGGCATGTACTGGACCTGCGGGCCCGAAAGCGAGCATGAGATTGGTGACCGCCCACAGGGACTGAGCACAGGACAAGTGTAGTAGTCATCATAGAACTCTTCGAGCTGGCTGCTCGTGAGATAGTGCACCTCTTGTTGCTCCATCAGAAATACCCGGGCCAGGACTGGGTCGGTAGCTAGGTGCACACAGCTGCCAACGCCTAACTACACAGGGAAGGTAGGGATGCTACAGTCCAACTCTTCATCTCCTTGCACACAACGTAGAACATGACCTGCAGCAGTCTGTGTCCAGCGAGTCCAGCACTCTCGTGCTTTCGTGAAGAAGTCGGCCGCCCGGCCTGACAGAGCTCCAGCTTGGACAAGGCACAGAACCTCAATGTCTCAGGTATTCCAAGAACCGTAGGGTTGCAATACTGCGCGGCCACATCTGCACCCACATTGGGGCCGCAACTGCATGGTGACGTACAGGAAGCCGTCCCACGTGACCTAAAGAAGTGGGGGCATTCACGAAGCTGCTGCCCACTCCTAGAAGAGTCAGGGCGGTGTGCTGTGTCCTTGTAGCCAGCCAAATCGAGAAGGAGTATCATGATCTTGGCGACCTGAGCAAAAACCCTCTGGTTTTTGGGTTTAGGGTTTAGGGTTTTAGGGTTTTAGGGTTTTAGGTTTTTAGGGTTTTAGGGTTTTAGGGTTTTAGGGAATTGCGCCGGGTGCAACCAAGGCATCCGGCCCACTGTCGATGGTTCCTGTCCAGGCATACACAGATGCCATGCTATCCAGGAAGCCTTAGCATGAATGAAGTCCCGGCTTGACCAGTCTCGTCATACTTGCTGTGCTGACCTTGGATGACACTCAGGCGATTCACGCTCGGGGCACACTGTGTGCACCAAAAGCCTGAAGCCACTCCACCGCAAACCCTAAACCCTAAACCCTAAATCCTAAACCCTAAACCCTAAACCCTAAGTTCCAGGCTTCATCTGGCCCGACCCGCAAGGTGATGGAGTCGTACCGCTTAAGCCTCTTGGGTCCGTCGTGGCTATGAACGCGCAAGTTCTCGGCCGTGGCATCTCTCATTCTTGGGGCGTCGCTGCTTGAAAGTCTTGAAGAACTGCACAACCCTGGACACAGACGATGGGAAAGATGCGAGCAGCTGCGGGCGTTTTCCACCACTCGCTGAGCTCCAGGCAGGCGAGGGGTGATTTTCATGTCTTGCAGCAGCTCCACCACCTGACACTCAAAACGCAAAGCACCACACATACTCAAGACTACCCTAAACCCTAAACCCTAAACCCTAAACCCTAAACCCTAAACCCTAAACCCTAAACCCTAAACCCTAAACCCTAAACCCTAAACCCATGCTCTGCTGTGGTGATGTGCCGGTCCTCAACGGCAGGTTCCGGCGGCTTGTCAAAGGAGAAGTTGCTCAAACAGGTCCTGGCTGCTGCATCAGCTCGGAGGTTTACTTGGAGGTTCATGGGTAGTTTAGGGTTTAGGGTTAGGGTTTAGGGTTTAGGGAGTTTAGGGAGTTTAGGGAGTTTAGGGAGTTTAGGGAGTTTAGGGTTTAGGGTTTAGGGTTTAGGGTTTAGGGTTTAAGATTACTTGGAGGTTCATGGTGCTTAATAGCCCAATCATAACTGTACCAATAACCGAGTTATAACCAGATTATAGGGCACAATAACCCAAGCATCACTGCACGTATAACAAAATTATAACCACATTGGGGCACTTAAGGGGCTTATAAGTGGGCTATAAGTACAGTTGTGGTTGGGTTATTAAGTACCATGAACCTCCAAGTAGGGTTTCAGCCAGCTTGGTGCCTGAATGCCCTCAGAACCTTGCTGGCAGCGGCAAGGACGACGCCTTCTTCCTGAGGGAGATACCACGGGGTTTAGGGTTTGGGTTTAGGGCTCAGGGTTCAGGGACCAGCACGCTTAGCAGCAGGTTCTTGCAACCAGCACGCATCCCATGCACAGTCTGCACTCCGATCGGCATGCGATGCTTTCAAGATCTCCCGCAAGTGATACAACGCACTGCTCGCAGAATATGCTGCTGGCCTCGTCGTCGGCACTTCGTTTCGACTTTCCCATTTCTGCCTGTTCTTGCGGTACAGAAACGCAGCTTCCCAAAACTGCACACGCATGAATGTGCAGCTAATACTTCAGCTTAATATCTGCCTAGTGTGGCGCCAGTTACTTGGGGCGAGAACAGTCCCGGTCCTACGGGACTGCGGACGCCTTGATGCAGCAGTTGTGGCAACAGGGTGAGCACGTCAGGCATGTGCAACTTGCCCACGTGGCGAAAAAATGAAGAATAAACAGAATAACAACAAAAAAAAATAAGCCACCTTACAGCCCAGTCATCTGGACGGCGCAGCCATCACCTGCATATGACGTTCGCTTGCTACTTTCGTATGTTTCAGGGGGCTGCCTACAACCCAAAACCCAAAACCCAAAACCCCAAACCCAAAACCCAAAACCCCAAACCCCAAACCCCAAACACTAAACCCTAAACCTAAACCCTAAACCCTAAACCCTAAACCCTAACCTAACATTCATACACAAGTTCCCAGAGTCGCCTCCATAGGACTGGCCACATGGAGGTCCCCTCCGTCTTGAGCCCACATGGAAAGGGATGTTCGGGTTTAGGGTTTAGGGTTTAGGGTTTAGGGTTTAGGGTTTGGGGTTTGGGGTTTGGGGTTTGGGGTTTGGGGTTTGGGGTTTGGGGTTTGGGGTTTGGGGTTTAGGGTTCTTTTTTGAGTTTAGGGTTTAGGGTCCAGGGGAATGGGGTGAGGCAGCTTCACTGACTCACCAGCGCGGCATCAGAGTAGAATAACCAGATCATGTAAAACATAAGATTGTTCGAATGTAATAATGTAATAATCTATTAAGGCTACACCGTGAAATAGCAATATAAAAAAAAAAAAAACATAGTATAACAATACATTTGTGCAATGGTTTAGCAACTTAAGAATATCGTAAAATGTAATCATATAACAATGTGATAGTATAGCAATATGTTAATACAACCATCGAGCAATACATTGGGTATCACAAGCTGACCATCTATCAGTATAAAAAAATATATGCTTAATAGGAGAATATAGGCTTTGGCAACTTTTTTGTCATGCTGCGCGGGATCGGTGGATTCTGTGTCTGGCTCCCAGCGTCGTTTGCTGCGGCTCTGGCCGGCGCTGGACCTTTCGACCTCCTCGTTGGCCAAGTAGCTGCCATGTGGCGACTGGATCAGCATAGCTGGCGTTCCTCAGTTGTGCTTTGAAACCTTTGAAAATTATTTGCGCGTAGGTTCCCCTTAGAAAGAAAGAAGGGAAGTTAAAAGCTATTCCAAAGCACGACCCAGGGTTCTGCCTGCCTCCATGAAATTCCGCTCCACATGAGGGCGCGCGGAGTCGCTGACCACCAGGGCATGGCCAGGGTTCTCCGATAGGCGATTGCCTCGAATGACGCACGCTGACTTCTCGGCTGCCTTGATCGCCGGTAGCTTGTGGCCTCGAAACGTGTTGTCCTCTATTGTTGGGGATGCTTCGCCCCGAACGTCAATTCCTGCAGCATGATTGTCGTAAAAGCTGTTCTCGACGATCTTTGCAGATGACGAGCCATCCATGTGAATCGCAGCGCAACGGCACGCAGACAGGCGGTTTCGCTCAACAATGGGGAAGGCTTGCTCGCTGATCAGAATTCCGTAGCCATCATTCTTCTCAATCTGATTGTCTCGGATTGTGGCTTGCGCTGTGTCCCGGACAGCAATTACACATCTCCTGGTGCCCCTTGCAAGACTTGCGCCATTCAGGGTCCCACCCTCTCCATCGTCGGCATGTCCCGCGCGCATGGGTTGCTGCAAAGTGTATGGTATGTTGGTTTCGCCGGTTTTGTTGCGCAAGATCTTACCCTGCTCATCAACATCCACCCACTCCTCCCCAGTCTGCCCGGAGATGTATGCCAACTTGTGTGTAAGCTGATTCTGCGAGTCTTCGCGCTTGCCCGCCACTTTTGCTCGTACTGTGCCTGACGCAGACCGAAACTCAATGACAGGCGCACTCTTGCCGTTGTTCGTCAGGGTGTTGTTCTCCACAAGAACCTACACTCCCCTTGGAACCTTAATAAAAATAATATTTCTAATATCCTCCTGGGTTTTATATACACAAAAACAGTTCAAAAAAAATACAAATTAAAAAACTCCCAAACGGGATATAGGAACGGAGGCCTCGCCACTGAGGAGGACCACGGCGCCATCATTTTCTTGCATCACGTTGCCCCGGAGGGTGCCGCTGGCGCTGTGCTGAAAACCTTAGTAAGGTTTAGGGTTTATAGGGTTTAGGGTTTAGGGATGTTTAGGGTTTACTAAAGGTTAACCTTTGGGATCACTAAGGGAACTACGTTACCCCAAAAAGGTTCAGGGTTACTCTACTGCTAGGAAGCTAACGGCGGCCATCTTGTGTCCTCTCAGCTCGCAGGATTCGATTGAAGCCTTGGCCTTGCCACGAATCAGAACACCGCAACCTTTGTTGGATCGAAGGCAGCTGCTTCTCACTTCCGCCGTGGCATCGTCCCGGAACTGCATCACAGGCGCGGCATTCCTCTGCAGTGTGCATTCGCACGTTGTGACGGATGCCCTCTCCCGCGCAGAAATACAAACGCCGAGGTTGCTTTCGAAGCTGCAGCGGTTGAGCTTCACAACGGCCTCGTCTCGCAGGATGCACGCCGTGCGCTGGCAGCAAGTCACGGCACAATCCTGCAGAGTGGCCCGCGCGCTGCCCTTGGCAGTGACCCCTTGCAAGGAGAGTGCGCAATCCTTCAGCAGCAACCTTCCACCTTCCGCACCTTCCGCACCTTCCACCTCGACTCCGCCCTCCAAGGACAAGTTGTACAGCGAGGCTCCAACACCCCGCACGGCCGCTACAGGTTGTGAAGATATGCCTTTCAATGTCACCTGTGCTCTGCCGACCAGCTCCACTGGCTTGTCAATCACGACACTTTCGTGATAAGTTCCAGCAGAGACGAGGATGGTTGCTACAGGCCATGGTGAGAGCCTCTCCAGAGCTTCTGCAATTGTCGGACAGTCACGCGGCACGCAAATCGCAAATCGCAAGAAGCCCCAAATCAAGCGGTCCAGATGGTGCCAGAAGTGACTTCCAGGAGGGGCGATCTTGGCTACACTCTCACGCACTGCCTGGCGTCGCAGCCACTGCAAGACCGGTTGAAACTCTTCCGAGTCCATGTCCGCATTGAATCGAGGCAGAACGGCTTGCAGCTTGTCTGTGGCTTTGACAATGCATAAGTTGCTTTTTTAGCTGATCGGATCGCATGTGGAACTGCGTGCTCTGGTTGGTAGATGTTGGCAGGTGCTCATGTATGCACGCCTTGCTGTGAATGCTTGTACTCTGTTACATGTGTGCTGGTCATTGCCTCCCCTCATCCAAAGAGCCAGACGTCCACCCGGCAAAACTTCTCCATGTCATTCCGTGTCCCATGCCTGCGTGCACGAGGATTACAACCCTAACGTAACACAGCTCAAGCACAGCTCCGGGTGGACGTACGGCCTTGCAGACAGCTTGGCTAGATCAATGTCGAGCGCGCAGCTCATCAGGTGTAAACTGCGGTGAGATGGGGACAATAAGATCGTTGCTTCACAAAGTAAGGTACTTACAACCATATTAGAGCACTTTAGGGGCTTATAAGTGGGTCATAAGTACAGTTATAATTGGTTACTAAGTGAAGGCAGTGCAGAGAAATCGGCGACCGTCATTTCTGCTGCATCTCGATCATGGTGATGCAAGTTGAAAGCTTTGCCTACACAGCCGTCACGGGCATCATCACAACAAGCAGAAAGAACAGCAACAGCAACGATCACCCACTCACACACTCACGCACTCACACACTCACGCACTCACACACTCACACAATCACACACTCACACAATCACACACTCACACACTCACACTCACACACTCACGCACTCACACACTCACGCAATCACACACTCACGCAATCACACGCTCACGCACTCCCACACTCACACACTCCCACACTCACACACACACACACACTCACACACTCCCACACTCACACACACTCTCACACACACAACACAACACAACACAACACAACACAACACAACACAACACAACACAACACAACACAACACAACACCACCCCACCCCACGCCACCCACCCCACGCCACAACATTAGGCGCCAGCCAGACAGAACAGATGAAGCACACTGAGCAGACAAAGGAAGTCTGCATACCCACAAACACAAACAAGTAAACATTCAACCAATCAAAACGCCTCGCAAGCGAAACGACAACCCAAGTGGCAGCCATCACATCGGAACAAACAGCAGTCGCGGCAACAGGCAACGCTCGGAATGGCTACTAGTACATGCGGCTGCTCGCATCTCAGCAAACCTGCAATGGCACATCACAAGCCGCCTCTAGTTCTGTCAAGAGTTTCGTGGACACACTCCCTGCTGCCACAGCAGCATCGAGCCTAGGTCGCAGGCTGGGTTGAAACAGGTTGAAACGAGCTCGACACACGTCTCAAAGTCTGCTGCCCTGCTGGGATCCTAATCTGAGCCGGCTACGACGCAAGTGATGCCTGCAAGCCCACGCCGCCTGAGCTGCTCACTTCGGAATAGTGCCCCGACAGCTGAGAGCCTTCGCGACACAAGCACCCGAATCCGTAAGCCCCAAGCAAATGTCTTCGGCCAGCCGGCGCAATCCTTGTGCCTTGGCCTGTGCAGCGGTACTCGCGCAAAAACCTCATGCAACGAGCTTTGGGGGTTTGAAGGGTCGCCGGGTCATGTTCAAGCAAGTAGTGTGCGCACATCTCTTTCCCTATATATATATATATATATATACACCTGCCAAAGGGTGTGTATACATATGTACGTGATATACATTTCTAGCTCATGCGATACAGTTCCTGTAGTGCTTCTTGTCCTTCAAGCTTCTCTCAACATCTCTGTCCCCGGACAAAAAACATACAAGTTCTGCGAAAAGTCGTCTACACGCCTTTGAACTTAAACCCTAAACCCTAAACCCTAGCCCTAAACCCTAACCCTAAACCCTAAACCCTAATCCAGAGCGTCCGAAAGCCTCTAAGCAACCCCGAGCCGCCACCATCCCCCAAAGCTGGTGACCAAACGGGCGCACCTTCTCCGAGCTAACTTTTCCTGGCAGCTCTGCTGCATGATCTGACGGCATCTAGGGTTTAGGGTTTAGGGTTTAGGGTTTAGGGCATGTAGAGCACAGCTTTGGAAAACACAGTGGCTCATGATATTACTGCAGGATGAAAGCACCCGCGAAGCACAAGGGACACTGTGCACAACTAACTGTTGGAACAGTAAAAGTTTCCACGCCACTTTGACCCAAGCCGATGTGGATCTGGCAAGCAGAACTTGTGATAGTCAGACGATGCCACACCGTGCCCCGCCCATGGGCAGTCCAGCTTGGGGGGGTGGGGGGGTTGGTTCGGGCCTCAGGTTGTGGCACGCTGTGGCGTGAAGGAAGTTGGAGTCTGAAGCTCTAAATAGCTCGACGACCTTCTGATGCTGCGGAACACTTATGCCTAAATGTGTCCCCCCCGACAAATGTTCCGCACCCCCCTCCCCCCTTTTCCCGGAAGCTTTTCTTCTATCCCATCCACGGATACCATACGCGCACTTGCAAAGCAAGAAAGTAATCCAAGCTTTGAAGACTCGGGCTTGCATCTTGGATGCCCTCTCGAGAAGATTGCCCTGCAAGCTAGGGCTGCGGGGTGCGGCGAGAACACGATCCGCGCGCAAGGCGACTGGTCGGGCAAGCCTTGACTTGTGACCAAACATGCAGCCGCCCAAGGTATGGCGTACACGCACCCGTGTGTCCAGGCCCGGGCATCTTGCGAGCAGTCAGGGATGTCCCTCTGTTCCAAAACCAGGGCGGCAGGTCGGCCGGCTACCTTGTGTCTCGTTGAGTTGGCGCGGGTTCGAGCCGCTTGACCAAAATCTGCTCTAAACATCTACAGAAGCTTGTCAACGCATGCTCCCACGCTCAAGATTGCGCGGCTGCGTACAGTTCTCAGATTGCGCGACTGCGTGCAGTGCTCAGATGGCGAAGCCTGCATTTCAGTAAAGATGGCTCGAACAGAACAAAAGCTTTGCTTGGCCAGGCACGGGGCGAACGCGATCGCGACCTGGATCACAGCAACATGCCACTTCGGTTTTGTCTGTGTGGGTTCAGCTGTGCCGTAGCTACTCTCTGAATGTACACAGCATGGTACAATTGCCATGCACAACTTGTCGATCAGACATGCGAAGCGAGTTGAACATGACGGCAAGAACTGTGCGAATGCTTCACTACAGCACGCAGGGAAGTTGAGAAATTTCGAATTCTGTCTTAGAGCGCCAATCAACATGTATAAAGAAAACAAAGTTTACAAAAGTTTGCGGAAAAGTAGGCCGCCGGTATCTATCTAACTTGTACAGGTCATGCCATGCCATAGCAAGCTACTTGAAGGTTCATGGGTAGTTATAAGTAGGGTTGTAAGCATCCTAAACGAGGTTATACCCAGTTGTAATTGTAATTATAGTTACCCGACTTACAACCCCACTTATAGCTACCCATGAACCTCCAAGGACTGGGTCGGTCGAGTTGTCGTGGCGGCGATCAGGGTGACCGAGGCCACCCCCAGTAATCAGTAATCGTCTGTTACTTAACTTGCAACTCCCGAAGACATGTAGAGGCCTGCACGGGGCCGACTTCGACTTCGACACATCAAGAGCTATAAATGCAGCTCCCCAATGTGGACGCCGATCGATGTGTCGGGTTTTGGGCTGAGGGTCCAGGGTAGATGCTGTGTAAATCACGACTCGGCCGACTTCGACCATCAGGAGAGATACTCTGGGGGAGGCGAGAGAAAGCGACTGCGTGTAGAAACCTTTCTTCCTAAACCCTAAACCCTTAAGCCCCTAAACCCTAAACCCTTTTTCCCCTAAACCCTAAACCCTACTTATAGCCCAGGCTGCAATCAGCTGTAAACAGGCCTCCGATGCATCTTGTGCTCTGGATCCTCGGAGCGTCAGATGACTGCTGAAGTGCTTGGAGTGTCAAAAACTAAACCGCGGTTTAGGGTTTAGGGTGTAGGGCTTAGGAGGGTTTAGGGTTTAGGGTTTAGGGTTTAGGGTTTAGGGTTTAGGGTTTAGGGTTTAGGGTTTAGGGTTTAGGGTAACAATACCATATAGTCATCTAGTAAAAAGAATGGCATGATGATACATACATAGACAATACAATATAGCAATCTAGTCACGAGTACAGCATTTTGACAAATGAGAAGCAATTTAACAAACTCGTGCGTTACAATTTGGTTATATGCAGTAAGTACAGTTTTACTTGGGTTATTAAGTACCTAATTTGGTTATATGTAAGTATATTAAGTACCATGGACCTCCAAGTAATACAGCAACGTTGAACCGATCCAGCCTGCGGTCCAGCGAAAAAGTACGGGTCCAAGTAGGGGTCGCATGTGGCCGTGGACCTGGGTCGCGCGACCAATTCCCCCTTTTGGAAACCTTATAGGTTTAAGGCTTAGGGTTTAGGGCTTGGGTTTAGGGTTTTCGGGTTTAGGGTCGAGGGTTTTAGGGTTAAGGTTCAGGGATTAGGGTTTGGGGTTTAGGGTTTCGACGCTAGGGTTTGGGGCCTAAGCTCTCAGGGCCAGGCTCTTCCACTGCATCTCCATCATGGCGCTCCTGTTGCCCACATCTACCCTCAGGAATGTCCAATATGTTATCATGATTCTTATTATTATTGTGACTATTATTCCTATTATGGGCTTCATCTGTGTGCTAGTGTATAACTCTTATCATTATTGTTAGGCAATACTATTCTGATTCTTGTTCTAGGCTGTCATTACTAGTCTGATATATCATATATGATGATGATCTGCGGCACTCTGCGTGTCCTCAGCCTGCAGCGCAGCACTAAGCCGTTCCACAAGCCTCGGCACCGCAGACACAACTTGGGACTAAAACAACAAAACAATGTCATACAATATCATGCGTACTACAGCTTCATATTTTGAATAAGAGAAGAGAGATTGACCGTCACCTAAAAATGAATGAAGAAACCCTAAACCCTAAACCCTAAACCCTCATCTCCACAGACCGGGACTCCGGCGTAAACTTTTTCCCGCTGGTGTTCAGGCCTCGCCTTCGGTTGCCGCGAGTCGCCACAGGACGAGGCCCGAACATGTGCACTTGGAGGTTCATGGTTCTTAATAACCCAATTAGAACTGTACTTAAACCCCAATTATAACCATGTTAGGGCACTTGGAGGTTCATGGTTCTTAATAACCCAATTAGAACTGCACTTAAACCCCAATGATAACCACATTAGAGGGCACTTAAGGGGCTTATAAGTGGGTTGTAAGTCCAGGTAGAATTGGGTTATCTGTACCATGAACCTCTAAGCACTAGCAGGGCTCTTGGGAAGTCCCAAGTAGAGTTGAGAGTCTACGTAGGTCGGCCGGACCACAGAATGAGATATACTCTGTGCGCAGTTTACGACGGCAGCATGTGGCAGATGCGTCAACATACTAACATATTAATATAATATACCAATATACTCATATACTAGTATACTCATATACTAATATACTAATATACTAGTATACGAATATACTAATATACGAATATACTAATATACTAATATACTAATATACTACGAATATACTACTAATATACTAATATACTCATATACTAGTATACTAATATACTAGTATACTAATATACTAATAAACTAGTTTACTAATATACTCGGAACTGGTTTCAACCAAGCTCGGAGCTCCTGCAGTTGGGCCTGCGCGTGAGCACTGATTTAGGCCCTCCGAACCGCTTGATGCTGTCTGAGTAAGCGAGCCCCAACGCACTCCATTGGCTTGTCTTTGCAGTGGGACAACATGCAGGCAACACTATGGCCGAACACATCCTCTGACAGGGAAACTGCACTTTCGGGATGAGTGTGCGATGACCGTCCACGCTTGCACTGTATGGGCGTCTGCTTGAACTGCCAAACATGAGTTCTCGTGGGCCTGCAGCTCGTCGTAGTCCAGATGATTCAATGATCGGACGTCCATTGCCCCTCGCCCCTTGTCAAAGCTGCGCAGTGGCGCAGTTTGTCTATGTTGATGTGTGTTCTACCAACTGCATATAGAGTGCACAGTTCCTGCCCCCATCACAAGGCTAAGTTTTCCATGTCTGCAATCACCGCTTACGCAAATGCCGCCCCTACTGGCGGACTCAGCAAGCCGAGCACGCGTTGGGTTCGCCAACAGTTTCAAGTACGGGGGCTCCCAGCTTCCCAGACGAATTTCGCAAACATGCCGCCTGACTAAGCAAAGTGATGTGTCAATGTGGCTGCCCAAAGCCTCCTGCATCGCGACATTTGTTGCTGTCCTACTCGCCAAGTGTGTGGCAAGCTTAGTGAAACTTTGTGAAACTCACTTCTGTACAGCGCAGGCGCTAGAGGCGCTTGCATGCATGGCACTCCTGAGAAGCTTCCTGAGCACTTGCACTATGCGAAAGGAGAGTCCATTGGTCTGCTGTTGCCTTTCAACATCTTGCAACTGAGGCACAGGGTTACAGCATATCGCCGGTCGAGCTCGGATTGAATTTCTGGACCTGCTGCAACCGATGCCTACAGAAATGCATAGAAAAGCACAGCAGCCAGCCAAAATGCGCCTGTGAACCCATGCCGCGCCCATTGGCGAACCTGCGAGTCACTTTCAGTTGGCATGAATCGATCCTTGTGAAGCCACGCCAAGCCCGTTCCTCACGGAGCAAATCGTCAATGATGTCTGCAGCAGAGAGCACCTTTGCAAAACTTCCTCCATGCTTCAGTGACAGTGATGACTGCCATCTTTGCATACACTTACGTCCAGTTGCATCCCACCTGGAATCCGGCATTCAATTCTCTGACTTGCCGCGCTCCCCAGTCCCGTTCACACAGAACCAGTGTCTGCTTTGGATGGCAGCCGTATTTCTCAAGACGGGCCAGCGCATAAGCTGCGTTGACGGTTTCCTTGGCTAGGGGCACACTGCGATCACGAAGGATGGGCTTTCGGCTGCTCGAGGGTTGCGCGTTGTGACATGGCAGGTTCTCGATGCCGCATCGCATTTCTGGGTGAGTCAAGCCAAGAGTTATAGGTTATAGGGTCCCTTCCCGAACCGGGTGTCTTCTACGACTATGTACTCGACCAGAACCTCGGCGAGGGTGAGGGGGGTGGCTGGCTGAGCTGCTCTGAAAAGTTTTGGCCGGACTGAAAAAGCACGGACCTGATCAGGAAGCTTCTGACTGGACTGCAGATACTCCTCCCTGCTGCCAAAGCTCTGCTGTGGATGGGTAGTGGATGAGCCTCTCAACTGAGAAGAACTAAGACTACTACAGTGGGGAAGCGTCGGCTCTTACACTCGCTCACCTATGGACTCGCCTGGGGAGGGGTTGGCCCATCGTCTTTTGGATCTTCACTGCGGAAACCTGGTCCACCACGTACGCAGTGTCACCTAGGCCCGCAACAGCCGACACTGCGCGATTCGCATGCACACAGAGCTGCTCGTACAAGCACAATCGATATCCTACCAGGCGTTGCCATGTGCTTGGAATCGGGCGCATGAGGTGGGCCACATTCTGAAATCGTTCGGGACAAGATGTTTCGAAGCAGAATGTTGGAAACGGATCTTGATCCGAAGTCGGCGCCAGCACCTTCACAAAGGCCCCCCGAAGCAAGATGATTAGGGCATGTCAAGGCCATAACAGCTAAGGCGCCGCAAAATCCAAAGCCCAGAGACGCAACCGCCTTGTCAGGCGCACGAAAGCAAACTCCACAGCCATCTGCAGACTCCAGCTTCGAGTTGCGACACCGGACAAAGTCATATTCGCTGAGCCCGATGATCCCTTGCGGTCCGAGGCTCTGCAGTATCGGCGCGTGGAAGTCCACTAACACATCAGCTTCGCACCGAGACTGCACCCTTTCTCTGCAGGTGTAGCGCGCTCCTGCACCTTGCGGCGGACGACTGTCAGCCGACTAGCCACGTCTCAACCTTTGACATCCTACCAGCAACAGACAACACAGATGTCCTGTCACGGCCAGTTCGTGGCTGTCACCCAGATATACCTTGAACTCCATTAAAAGCAAGCAGATTGCATTGAAGTTGTCAATGAGCATGCTGCTACACGATATGGAAGAAGACACGCCAGGTCGCCCGCAGCAAACGAATCGATGACGCGTCCATGCCTTGCACTGACAGGCTTTGGAGCACCACAGACGAGATGGCGCGGAAGGCATTGCTGGCTTGTGCCTGGGCACAACCAACTGGTTCTGAGTAGGGAATGAGGGAATTAGGACCCTATCTATATATATATATATATATATGTATACCTTTTCAGGGGTCATATAGGGTGCCTCAGTCCCTCATTCCCTGCTAAGAACCAGCCGGACAATGGCTACACAACAGTCGGCCATGCTATGGCAGTTGCCCACCAACAAAGCGCAGAATCGCCAAAGTCGTTTGGAACACCCATCCCACGAGCGACGTGTTCGGGTACGCTGAAGTCAACGCGGTCGGCTTATGCTTGCTTCATTGGCACCCTCTCCATTTCTCTTCTTCTTCTGCTTCTTCTACAGGGATTGAAGACGCACTGGGCGCGCCCAGCTCAAGTCCGGTTTCGGTGACTATTCGGTAGGGAACTCCTCCATGCCAGCAGAACTCACTCTCACTCACTCACTCACTGTCACTCTCTCTCTCTCTTGGGGATGCCGAGAAGTGGTTCGAGCCGTCCAAAGCAGAAGCCCACAGCCACAGACATGCAAAGCCGCCGCGTGCAAATTTGGGGGGGGGGGGGGGGAGGGATTGACGAACATAGGGGACCCTAAGATGGACCCCAAAAATTATCGGAAACCCCCAGATTCATGAGTTTCTTGAAGTTCGAGTGTCAATTCCGATCTCCCGCGTGCGGCCAAAAAGAAGGATCTCTGTTCCTCGGCGCGTCTCGGCAACCCTAAACCCTGAACCCTGAACCCTAAACCCTAAACCCTAAACCCCAAACCCCAACAGCACTGTTGCCATGTGAAGGCCCATGCATGCTTCTTCGTCTGCTCAGTCCTGGTCGGACGAACACCACCCAGGCTAAACCCTAAACCCTAAACCCTAAACCCTAAACCCTAAACCCTGAACCCTGAACCCTGAACCCTAAACCCTAAACCCTGAACCCTGAACCCTAAACCCTAAACCCGAACCCTAAACCCTAAACCCTAAACCCTGAACCCCAAACCCCAAACCTTAAACCCTAAACCCTAAACCCGAACCCTAAACCCTAAACCCTAAACCCCAAACCCTAAACCCCAAACCCCCTAAACCCCAAACCCTAAACCCCAAACCGCCAGGCGAGAAAGCGAGAGCAGATCCCCGACTGGCCAAGAGGCGCTCCGTTCCGTCCACCTGCCAGGCCATGTTCCGAGATTGCGAATACGGACAACGTCTGGGTTCTTAGAAGTAGGGTTTTTTTTTCACTCCTGCACAGCTGGGGCGAATCCACATCGCAGGGCGATTACGAGGCGCGACTGGTGTCCTAGCAAGTAGGGTTTAGGGTTTAGGGTTTAGGGTTTAGGGTTTAGGGTTTAGGGGTTTGGGTTTTGGGTTTGGGTTTTGGGTTTAGGGTTTCGGGTTGGGTTGAGGGGGTTATACCCTAAGTAAGATTATAACCATGGTTACCCCACTAATGACCCTAATGATAACTACCCATGAGGGGGTTTACGAAAAAGGGGACGCCGAAGATAGAGCCCTTTTTCAATAGTAGGATTCCCTTATGATAAGGACCCCAATAAGGTACCCCCTAATTTCGGAAACCCCCATTGGGGGCTTCGGGTTGCAAGATTCTAAACCCTTTTTTTTTTTTTGCAGCCGGACTGAGGGCCGATTCTAAACCCTAAACCCTAAACCCTAAACCCTAAACCCGAAACCCTAAACCCTAAACCCTAACCCTAAACCCTAAACCCCAAAGTTTCAAGGCCCCCGGCCTCCAAGCATAAGATCCCTTGTCCAGACGCGCCCTTCAAAAGCCACGAGGGTCGGACGGCGTCCCCCAGCAGTGGTTGCCAAACGTCCCTGGGGTTTGGGGTTTAGGGTTTAGGGTTTAGGGCTTAGGGCTTAGGGTTTGGGATGTTCCCCCTGACACTAACAGCCCTTCATTGGGACTATCATCAGGGTACTCTAATCCCTATTTAAGGACTGCGAGCATATGGGGGAACATCCCCAACTCACTTAGTGAGGTGACCTTTTAAAAAAGGGCCAGCAAGTACAGAGTCAAGGCCTCAACCGCTTAGATGTGGAGCAAGGCACTCCCCTTAGAACCTTAATAAAGAAATAGTAATATGTTTAATATCCTCTTGGGTTTTATATAAACAAAAAGTTATTTACAAAAAAAAATAATAATAATAATCATAATAACAATAATAATAATAATTCCCATCGGGGATATTGGAGCAAGGCGCGGCTGTCCCCAGAGCTTGGTCTTGACACCCAGGAACCGCGGGTATCGAAAGCCGAAGGTCATCTTCTCCGCGAGCATTGGCATTCTGCGTGGGTCGAGAACCTATACTCCCCCTTAGAACCTTGATAAGAATCATGTGGTTCTTATCCTCTTGGGTTTTATATACTCAAGAGCCTATACTCCCCTTAGAACCATTAATGAAAATAATATTGTTTGATATCCTCTTGGGCTTTTACATAAACAAAAAACAAAGAATTCCCAAGGGGACATAGGAACAGGCAGGACATGATACTTACCTTTCTTGGATGCTGTGGTGTAGGTGGCGAAGGAGAAGTCGCCACAAAGCCGAATCACGCACTCGTTGGCACCAGAGGACAACGGAGGCTCTTCGCCAAGCTGAACGCGCTCCTTGAACTGCTTCTTGGTATTCGCTGTTATCTGAACCAACCGAAACATCTGTCCCAGCAGGCCGAACCCAGCCGCCACAGAACGCACTGCGTGGCACTGGCCAGCTGCAAGCATCCTCGCAGCCTTCTGAGAGGGGTCCTCGGTGGCGAGAAACAGAATGTCTGTAGGATTGTACCCCATGGCATCGGCCACCAATGCAGCCTCCTGTGTCAACCACACGACGGATGGTAGCAGCTGCTCTACCGCATAGCGCAGGATGAAAAGGAGTGCGGCTGGGTGAGAGCTGTTCACCAGAAGCATCGCCTCAACCGTCGCAGCACCAAGTGTAATGCCGGTGCAAATCGCCAGCCTCTGTATACCCACCCGGTCCAAGGTGGCGCTCACCACGCTCTTCGCAAGCCGCTGCGCGCGCTCCTGTGACCAAAGCCTGATGCATTCCTGCGGGTTGGTGGTGAACTCTGCATCCGCAGCAATACCTGTCGCAACGCCGCACACTGAAGGTATAGGGGTTTACGATATCAAGGGCACCTTATGTACCTTATTGGAATCCTTAATATTATAAGGGGGCTCCTACTATTGGGGGGTCTATTTTGGGGTCCCCTATTTTCCTAAACATATGTGCCCACACACCGCTGCATTCTGCCGCGCTATGCTGGCCTTTGCTGCCTGATAGCATTGCGCACCCTACTCTCACCTCGTCTGAAAGAAGTCTAGACGCGAGCATCCGGCAGGTGCATGACAAGGAGGTGGACAAACTCGTCCAAGTCAATCCTTCCATCAGAATTGGCATCCGCCCTTGAGATGCACAAGTCGATGTACTCCTCAGGGTGGCTGCAATGCAGTAGCGGCTCTAGCAGTGGGCACCACGCAGTGTGTGCAAGCAGCAGGTGTCAGATTCCCTACAGCTTAATAGAGGCTGGCAGCGCCGCTCGACCTTTCGCCCAAAAGCCCTAAACCCCTAAACCCCTAAACCCGACTAAACCCGACTAAACCCTACTAAACCCTAATAAACCCTAAACCATAAACCGTAAACCCCTAATCCCTAAACCCTAAGCCCAAGCCCGAATTCTTCCATCGAAGCCCCGAGCCTGGCATGTTCTGCAGTCGACGCGTTTGGGGAACTGAATGGGGCCCCCGCCAACAAATTTAGGCCAATGAGTTTAGGGTTTAGTGTTTAAGGTTTAGGGTTTAGGGCTACTTGGGAGGTTCATGGGTAGCTATACATGGGGTTATAAGTAGGGTCACTCTACTTAGAACCGGTTCGAACCTTACTTAGGGTTTTTCTAACGCTACCTATAACTACCCATGAACCTCCAAGCAGAAGATTCCAGCGCTCGGCTTCGAACTCGGAGATGCTCAAAAAAAACAGAAGTTGGAGCCCCATGCCGGAATTTGGGTTGAGGAATTTTCGACGCTCGGGCTCACATGTTTTTTGGCCGCCTGACCGACCAGCACCACACACTTTGCATTCACGTTTTGGGTTCTAGGAGAGAGAACCGAAAGTAGACAAAGCTTCATTGCATGGCTCATGCGTGAAAGCTTCAAGGCTTACCCTATAAACCCTAAACTCTACACCCTAAACCCTTAACCCTAAACCCTCTGCTACTGTGACAATAGACCAACATGTGCCGCATCCTAAGCCCTAAACCCTTTTTGAGCAACGGACTTTGGAGGTTGCCGGCAAACATGCAGGCACCCTAAACCCTAAACCCTCTGCTACTGTGACAATACACCAACATGTGCCGCATTACCGCACGTCCTCGGTCAAAGCCCATGCGCCGCCCTTCTCGCCCACCTGTGCTTCACGTCAGTCTAGTATCATATTCGTATATTCCTATGAGTAGGTTGTTGCACTAGTACATTATCGTGTTAATAGATCATGGTCTTCGTATATTCTTGCCTTACCCTAAACCCTAAACCCTAAACCCTAAACCCTAAACCCTAAACCCTAAACCCTAAACCCTAAACCCTAAACCCTAAACCGCGGCGAGCACTCTGCCTGCAAGTACTTCAGCATCAGGTTCTTCACCTCAGGCAGATCCAGATATCCATTGTTGTCTTTGTCGGCCGCCTGTCGGAACAGGCACCAGGGGCACCAGTTTAGGGTTTAGGGGGTTTAGGGGGTTTAGGGGGTTTAGGGGGTTTAGGGGGTTTAGGGGGTTTAGGGGGTTTAGGGGGTTTAGGGGGTTTAGGGGGTTTAGGGTTTAAGGTTTAGGGAGCAACGTGTTTGCCGCACCGACTGCTGCACCGGACACGGCAACGTTCGAACGGTTAATCGGTCAGTTTTCCAAAATGGGGTCCCTTTTTGGGTACCCTAATTTTTAGGGGCTGCAATGTTCGTCCCCCCAAAGGGACCACATTTTAGAGAAGTGACCAACTAGTTCTGGGATACGCCCCAGCATGTGATGGTGCCCGATTGTTGTGAACTGGTTCAGGCGCCACTTCGTGCTCTTCCGTTCCCGCGCTCATGCCCGCCCCAACTGCGTCCGTTGGCTCCCTTCTTTCTTTCTTCGCCTTCTCTGCGCTCGTTGCTTTTTCTTGCTTCTTCTTCTCCTGCCTTGAGGACAAGCCTGCCCTGCCCTCGGCACGCTCTGGAGTGGCGACTTGAGTTACACCCTCATTCGCCCATCCGGATGCAATCTCCCAAACCGCCACCCTTCAATTCAGATCCAAGAGCGGTGCAGTCGCCATGCTTTCTGCAACGATTCCCTAATGTGACCTAAAATTTCGCCGAGCAGGTCGCGCCTGAAAGAGCTGTCGGTAAGTCTCACGCCATTTCTTTGCTGCCTTATGTATGGCAAGACATGTACTTCGCATGCTATGAAGCAGGAAGCCTGCATATGCACCTTCACATCTCAACGAGCAGCGGTAGCCAGGTATAAAAGAAACAACTTGCACCTCAACAACGCTGAGGAACAACGGTCTTGGAGACATCCGTGAAGCTGCGCAACCCCCTTTGCCGTGGCAATGGGCGGCACAGCCGAAGAAGACTCCATAGAGGCATGCATCATGTGGTACAGCAGCAGGTGCTGCGTGTTCCAGGTCCAGCTCTCAATCTTGCGAAGTCTACTTGGCTCTGCTGAGATTCCGCTGCCGGCCAAGAGTTGAGCCCACGCTTCCTACTGCCGTGATGTTTTTTCACGCGTTGGGGCGGAACTGGCATCCATGAAGACGCAGCATAGCCATGCTGAGAACTCACTGTCCATTGTCTTGAAACATACAGAGTACGCCCTCGGCATAAGAAACCTACTGGAAGGCCGAGGTCAGATTGACCCCTTGTTCTCCACTCTGCGGGGTTGCACCTTCAGAGAGAAACCCACAGAGAGTCCCGCGAGCTTGCGGAGAGTCCCTCGTCATAGAGGGTAGTTACAAGTGGGGTTATAAGTAGGGTAACACTAGGGTAACTGTCATTATCACTGGATATAGCCTTGTTCAGGGTAAGTACTTATAACCCTACTTATATCTACCCATGAACCTTCAAGTAGTTGCCCGTCCGAAAACGGAAGGATCCCCCCCCTCCCACATCGGCTAGCTGCAGGGTGAGGGTGGTCGAAGTAAACAACTTCATGGTTTTCATTGTCACTTGACTAGGCCACCTTCCAACCCAGAACTACAACCTCCCACAACACTCCCAAAAGTTGCACACACGCAAAACCTCACAAATTCTCCGCCTGCCTGTTACCGTTTCGGCGGGGGCCGCGTTTCGGAATGCTGGGAGAAAAGCCTAGGTTCCAATTGCGAGGAATTAGTGCAGGGGGAGGAGTGCTTCATGAGGTTCACGAACTCCAGGCCCTTAAACAGTGGGCTCAGGATTGCCACTCAAAGACGCCCTCAGCCAACTCCACAGGGTTTTTTGCCCCACGACGCCCAAGCGCGCGCAGGGATGCTCCACCTGGAGGTTGCCCGCGATGGGCCAACAGCACTGTCGGCCTCCGGGTTGAATGCAGCTCCCCCAAGACTTCTCCAAGGTGGCGGCCAGCACACAGGGATGCGCGAATGCACCGATGCTCCAGCTGCAAGGCTACAGGTCGGTCAGCACTTCAACCCGGTGCCCCGATGTTGAGGGCGGCAGCATCTGCATGATGGCCATGACCATGAGCAGCGAAAGCAGGACGCAGCCACATCTCGACAAGGTCAGGCATGTCCTGCAACTGCAGCTGGCGAGCATGACAACTCCCATTTTTGCTCTATGTGCTGTCAGGCGATTCTCAAATACGTCCTGCCGCCTCTTGCTTTCTGCAAGAAGTTCCAGCATTGAAGCAGCTTCGCAAGGCTGCGCCCGACCTTCGATTTTCAGATCGTGCTTTAGACTGCGAGTCATGAAGCTTTTCCTGTTCGTTATTGGATCGCTCGGCTTCCCTCTCCTAGGCCCCAGCGCACTTGGCAAAGATCTCCAGGGCAGGTGAGAGTTTGGCAGGGGCTGGCTCACGCTCACGAGACTCGTGGCTTTGAGGCACATCCTCGCTTTGAGAAACGTCCTCCTGGCGCAGCAGGAGTTCACTGCCAAGCAGGCCCAACTTGGTCATCAAAGTCTGGGCCTGACCCTTCGCGTGCCCTGCCATCTTCCTTTGCTCCTGCAGTCTGAACGCCACCAACTGAGAAATAAAGACCAACCAGTTTGACCACGGCATCTTCGGTGAATTCTTAGTCCCACTGAGGCGTCAGCTTTCAGCAAGAGTTCTTTGCAGTACCGAAGGCTGCTGCGGATCTCGGCGCCTGGCATCTTGACTTCGCACATCTTCTCACAGTGTCTCGCGGCCCGAACCCTAAACCCTCAACCCTAAGCCCTGGTCTTCGGGAACACGCAATGAGGCAGAGGCATGAAGCGAGCAAGAGCACTGGTAGGCATCAGCTGCGCCGCTTCCCGCAGATCCTCTAAGGCGCCCTGCAGGTTCTGCTCAGGGCCTGCAAATGCCCAAGGCGCCAAAGCGCTTCATTTATATAATGATATAACCTAAGGATATAGCTATATATCAGTATAGAAGTACACATCTCTCTCTGCCATTGCATACACAAGCATATCCTGATAGAATTAAACAAGTACATAAGTACATACTTATCTACGTTTATAATTATAATGAAAAATATGTACTTATTTCTATCAGAATAGAGTTGTATAGCTATTTAATTATATAAGTACATCACTCTGTTTTTGTTTGTGATGGTCCATTGGGACCAAGCTGTCTTGCAACACTTGAGCCTGGCTCTCCAAGCGCCAGAGCTCGCCGGTAGCGGAGCTTCGCTTTGAACCTCCAGCCACTGTGGGTTTAGGGTTTCTGCAGCAGGGTTTAGGGTGGTTTGGGTTTATATATGGTTTATGGGGTTTAGGGCTTATAGGGTTAAGGGGGTTTAGGGTTTTGGGTTTATGGTTTACTCGGTGCTAGGGTTTAGGGTTCATCTACTGCCCCAAAGCTACACGCATGCATAGTTCTCTGAATTAGGTCCTCTTTGAGGTCCCTAGTGTATTGTAAGGGTGCCGTACAATATTTGGACCCAAAAAAGAGACCCCTCATCTAATTTAGAGAACTAATTACCCACATCTCACCCTTTCACCCTTGTGTCCGTCATTGTCCCTCTATCTGCATCCTAGGCACACATCAGCTTCATCGCCAGGCAACTTGCACACATTCCGCAATCCCAAGTGCGCCGCCTGGAACATGCTGCGCATGTGAATATGGAATGGCTTCACTGGTGGAATGGTGATGGGGCCGAAGTCTCATCGAACATGAGACAAGGACACTCTTTTGACACTCACCTTAGGCACGAGTAGTTTGCACGGAGGTGGGTCCAAAGCCATGAAGCCATAACTCAAGGAACAACCACAAGCCGCACAATCGAAGCCCAGAAACCTGTGCCTCACCCCCCCGCCCACCCACTCGCACAAAACACATAGAACAACAATGTACTAACTCAAGAGCAACTCTTGCGAGGGCGCCTTGGCAACATTGCCGAAGTCGCCTCTTTTCAAGAAGACTTGTGCCAGGTTGCTGAGAACTGGCAAGAGCTCTCTCGCAACCGCCAGCCTCTGAGCAGCAGACCGCAGATATCCGAAGTTCCGTTGCATTTGGGCATTTCCCAAAATAGGGGTACCCCTTAAATGCCCCTAATTAATACTATAGTCCTTATTCTTGGAACCCCCATAAAGGGAATCCGCTAATTTAGGAAACTACCCACTCTCTCCAGCACCTCTGGTCATCCGTCATGTTCACCTGCTCGTTCGGCGTGAAATCCACCGCATGGATGGCCTCAAGGAGTTTTGTTGCTGAGTACCCTAGGGCCAAAAACGGATGACCTTTCAATTTATGGTAGATAGACATATGTATATATGTATATACCCTGAAAGGTTACGGTTCAGGGTTGCCAAAAAGAGATGACACCAAGACGCTCGAAACACCAAGACCCCTCTGCCGTCAGGTCGGGCAGAGGCAGTCTTTCGCGCAGCGTTTGCAATCGCACAATCTTTGAGGGCACGGCCCCCAAGTTGCAGTGCAGGGCTCTACGATAGTCATCTGCCCGGTACCTCGTCGATCGATCCGGCTCAATTGCGCACGCAGACACGCACGCGCGCACACACACACACACACACAAGCTCCAAGAAGCATCAAGAACCAATGCCTGCCACAGAGAGAGAGAGAGAGAAAAAAAAAAAGGGAGAGACATGCCGCATTTGTAAGGTCTCAGAAGCCGGCCATTTGTTGCCCATCTCTCTCAGGCGGTGCGCGTGACCAACTCGGGCCTCCAAGCTCAAAAAGTAAAATGTGCTAAGCTTGCCAGGCCCCTAAAGCTGAATGCCACGAACCCTAAACCCTAAACCCTAAACCCTAAACCCTAAACCCTCAACCCTAAACCCTAAACCCTAAACCCAAAACCCTAAACCCTAAACTGCACGGCCTGAAAGTCCTCGGGCCGGCATAGCCCTTCCTCGATCAGCCAGTGCAGTAGTTGCCTGTGCTCGCTCTCTTCCTGCACCACACAGCTCAACTCAGCTCTGCTAATGCCGACTCAAGCTTGCTGCAATCTTTGCTGGCTCAGAGTTAAGTTTAGAGTGCCCCTAAGCCCTAAACCCTAAACCCTAAACCCCTAAACCCTGAACCTGTTGCATCCAGCTTCTCCCTGCCGATTTGACATGACGTCCACATGCGTCCTCACAGAAGCTTCGCAGCCAGTGCTCCCGGCCTCGGGGGGGGTAAACGAATATACAAGAACACATAGTATACCCATACATATGGGGGAGGCTACGAAGATAAGGAGGCCCCTAATCATAGACTATGGTACTAGGATTCCCTTTTAATAAGGACCCCCATAAGGTACCCCTAATTTCGGAAACCCGGAAACCCCATATACATATACATATGTACAGTAGATGACATGACAAAACCATACATCATATGAACCAATAATCACGAACACAATCAAGTTACATGGCAGTAGATCAATATAACCAGCGAGTGACAAAAGTAATCACCAACAACAGACAGCATTTTTCACAACATGCAAAATACCTGTACTTCGGAATACAAAATATGAGAATACAGAAGTTCGAACATGCATGTCTTTTGGCTTAAATGGGCATTTCCCAAAACAGGGGTGCCCCTTCAATACCCCAAATCGAATGGAATCCCCTTAAAGGGGCCCCCCAACAAGGGTACCCCCCCTATTTTCGAGAACCCCCAATTGCCCTAAACCCTGAACCCTAAGGCCTGAGCCTACTGAGCTCCTCACCCATATCTCGCTGCCTCTGGAACTCTTGCTTTGACGCGGCATCGGAAGGCAGCGACATGCCGATGTGCGCGCAATGGCTGAAACAGCTGGGATTGGTCGAGTTTAGGGTTTAGGGTGTAGGGCCCCTAAACCCGAAACCCGAAACCCTGTCGGAAACCCTAAAACCTGAACTCCAAATTGCCCGAAAATGGTAGGAGCCTGTTTTTCATTCTAACGCGCTCGCTGCAAATGCTTGGGAAGTTCAAACCATGCTATGCTTGAGAGGGGCTTTTGCCTCATGACATGGATTCGGATCGCAGCAATTTTAAATGGGGTGGATGTTTGTGAATTCGGGCTATCGGATGATGTCGCCTCCGTTTCTTGAGCCATGGCTTGGGCACAAAAACCACTGAAAGCCGTGTGGTGCAGAAGCTCTCACGGCGGCATCAAAGTTTACGGACGGAAAGTCAATAGCTTAACTCGTGCCTGTTCCACTGGCAACTTGCGCAAATAGACTCGTCAATACGTCATCGGCGCGAACGGCACTGGGCATTTTAACCTTGCTGCTCGAGCAGCAACACCATTCCGTGCATCAGGTCATGTAAGCTCATTTACACATGTGCGGGGCCACCAACTGGAATGCTTTGGCCCTCGAAGATGTACCAAGTGGACCGAGTGAGCAAGGTCGAGGGCCCTGAGAAGACGGCCATCGTCCCAATGCTGCCACAATGCTGCTGCAGCTACTTGGCATTCCGACTTCTATGTAGCACCTATCGGACCCATCGCAAAGGTGAGCATGACATGAAGCAATGCAATAAAAAAACAGATCGACTTTGTCTTGAGAAGAGTCAAGAGCAGTTTGACCAAGAGAGAGCTCGGCTCTTTGGCCCTCGTGGCTCGCAAAAAAAGCAGGCAGGAGCAAGAAGGGTTAGGATGGGCAGTGGCACTTTCGAGAGGCCCATGGCTCAGACCTCACTTAGAAAGCTTGGGCCCACTGATGTTTGAGAGTTGCAAGCCAGACTCCGTGCCGCCACTGTGCCCCCGCCAATCTGTCGCCCCAAGCACTCTGTTTTTAAGTCGATCTAGGACAGCACGATGATAGCATACCATGTGGCCCAAGGTGGCAACTATCCAAAACCTCGTCATTCGATGAATGACCTCTCTGTGTCTGCAGCACTCAGAAGCCCTGAATTAACCCTAAACCCTAAACCCTAAACCCTAAATAATTTGGAAGCAGGGGAACCAACCCTGAACACCAACCTTTCAACCCACAACAGGGCCAACCCCACACACCTTTGAGCCGGCATGCCGTGCACTGACTGAGAATTGAGTGGGTTCAGGTCCAACACAATAACGCATAGTAATACATAAGAAAAGCATAATAATAATAATGACAATAATGCTAATACTAATCATCATAATAATAACAATAATAATTGCCGGGAATCAACTTCGCAGCATCCTCCAATGGATGCCAAGGTCCCCATTTTTGCTCTTGCTTGCCACAGCCGAGGTGTGTTGTGCCACAGAAATCCTGTACAGGGTTGACTTGGCCCGATCGGCGGCACACTCGCCTGTGTCTAGAGGGTGAAACCTCCATCGGACTGCGCCCATGTGCCGTTCGCACAGCACGCCGTTCGTCTGTTTCAGTGTCTTGGATTACAGGGGCACCTTGGGTGATGCGCCCTTGAACCTGTATCACTATGAAGTAATATACTAATATCCATATATATATATATATAGATTTATCTCTTTACGTTTTTCTCTTATGGCGATTCCTATTATTAGCATTACTCTTACTATTCCTATTCCTACATAACATTATTCGGATGATTCTCAACATTTTGATTCTTTTTACTATCACAACACGCTCACTGCGGAGCGGCTCTAGAGCAGCCCGAGCTCCTGACGCGCCTGCAGCGTAGGGTTTCGGGTTTCGGGTTTAGGGTTTAGGGTTTAGGGTTTAGGGATCAGGGTTCAGGGCTCAGGGTTGAGGGTTCACGGTTGAGGGCTTAGGGTTTGGGAGTTTTGGGGTTTGGGGTTCAAGTTTTAGGGTGGGAGGTTGTAAATCATAAAGTGCTCGAACAAGTATTCTAAGGACATAATAGGAAGAATATAGTGCTATAAGAACAGGGTACTATAATGTACTTTGATAATGATGGAACATTCGTGCAAACATCATACAGCGTCGAAAATGTAGATCAGGGCTCTCCCACTTGTGTTCCATCGGGACCCGCTGCAATCGGAAAAGGGTTGATGCTGCAATTCTAGGCATAAGCTGAACTGCAAGCACAAATTATATTCTTAGATTGTATAGAGATATACAATTATATTAGGATATCATTATACTTTACAATTAAAACACTGCATTACTATATTCTAATACTAGTATGTCCAAAAACTATGTGCCCTAAACCCTAAACCCTAAACCCTAAACCCTAATCCCTAAACCCTAAACCCTAAACCCTAAACCTTAAACCCTAAACCCTAACCCTGAACCCTAGACCCTAAGCCCTAAACCCTAAACCCTGACTCTTATTTTCTGAAGGAACTCGCAGCAGCACATGTAAGGGCGCGGCCTCTCGGGCCGCGCGGGATGCAGCTTCATGGGGTGCCTTGGAGGTTCATGGTACTTCGAACCCAATAACAGGAAGAGTAGATTTTGTCTATTTTAGGGGTCCCCTATTTCCGTAAAGCCCCCACTTGCATCTTGCCCATGATGCAGGCAGCCGTTTAGGGTTTAGGGCTTACTTAGGGTTTAGGAATCCTCTATTCACTACTTCCTGGGCTTTTTAGGCCTGGTGGTGATCAGGCGTGCGAAGCCGTGGCCGACGCAGTCTTTTCAGGGCCTACCATGATGTTTTGAACGCAACTCACGGAAAAGGTACCCTAAACCCTAAACCCTAAACCCTAAACCCTAAACCCTAAACCCTAAACCCTAAACCCTAAACCCTAAACCCTAAACCCTAAACCCTAAACCGTGACGAACTTCACGACGACAACAACCACAACCGCCACAGCACGAGCAGCAGAAAATGGCATCAAAAGCACAGGCGCAGTACCAAGCAGGAGCACTTCGGCGAGCCAGTTCAGTAACCCTAAACCCTAAACCCTAAACCCTAAACCCTAAACCCTAAACCCTAAACCCTAAAAAGCCACTCTGGGCTTTGCTCTGCTGCATGTGCAATGTAGAGAATACAGGCACCCTTACATACAACCTGGGTTCTAGCCTCCCGAATATGACAGGGAAGTAGGGGAGTAACTAATGCTACGAGATGCTAAGAGGAAAACTTTCGAGCAATTCTGACACGCTAAGGATTCTCACCGAGAACCCTGCAAAAAATGAACTACCCAGAATACTTGGTAGTTGATCAAATACCTGTTGCCAAGGGTATGCTTATGTTTGCTTTCTAAATCCATAGGAATACCGGAATAATTTCCCGAAAAGGAACTTTGGAACGATCGCCCCCTTGGGATTCCGGATGCGAATCGTGCTGTGCTGCAGTAGGTCCCCAGCTATCCCTTGACCACGATGTTGCGCAAAGATGTCCTCAACGGTTGGGGACAGCAAGCTGCATGTGGGATCACGACGAACATGCATGCCGACACATTTCTGAACATTCCTTGGTGCGCTTGTCCAACAATCTTTTGGCCTCTCAGGTTAGACGTGAAATCGTTGATTGACTCAAGCTTATTGATTCCTATCTTGTTCTTATATCAATACATGCTGATATTGCTAGTTGATTGTATTGCTTTATAAATACACGGTTGCAAAACTTATGACTCTGTTATTCCATTAATCTATTGCTAGGTGTTTATACTATTTTGCTGGTTATAAAATATAGGATAACATTTTCGTATTTTCTGTTTCTTATGTGATTAAATTATGATATACGTGTATATATATATATATATATATATTGTGATAGTATTATAGTATTACTATATAAATATCTGCTTGCATGACTATATGAGTATATTGGTATGTTATTTAATATTGTATGAATATATTAATAGATTATTATATGATAGTATGACTATATGATGATTAGATTCATATCATATTCCTAGATTATGTTTTCTGTTGTTTTCTATATTGTATTCTTATCCTAATATACTATTAAATCAGCACATGCTGATACTGTCACGTTATGTCGTTATATTTTTCTAGAATACATCTGCTATGCGGCTTTCTAGCTTTGTATTATCAGAACTGATTAGCATAGTGTCGCAATTTATACTAAAATATGTCTATACTATATTCTGGTCTTCTGATATTGTTATCTTATGAGACTATGGTCTGTGCTATTAATGCAGCTCTGGGTTTTTGCATTGAAGAGGCCTCCTCGGGGTTGGTGCCTCCAACGGATGTCAAAGACAAGCGAATGGCCTGCCGGAGGGTTTGGGGATGTGCATTCTACGGTTACGGTTTAGGGTTTGGGGTTTTGTGTTTGGGGTTTAGGGTTTGGGGATAGGGTTTCGGGTTTAGGATTTGGGGCTTAGGGTTTAGGAGACTGGGTGCTACAATAAGTTTTAGGTGAGTGTGGGGGCTGGAGGGGTGCTCGGGAGGAAGAAGCATTTCTACATCTCTTGGCGGGGTTTGTTGCGGTCCATAGTATAGGATCACAAGAGAAAGACTAGAAGACAATAACAGTCTCAGACTAGAAGGCTATCAGAATTTAGGAATATGAGAATGACATGATATAAGAATATAAGAAAATGGGACCATGAACATGTGAACATATGAGAATACAAGAATGCATATAAGCAGATAAGCATATATGCATATCAGAATTTTCGAATACAAAACAAAAAACAACAGAAAAAAAGAGCATAAGAATACAATAATGTTGGAAAACGAAAGTAAAAAAATAATAAATAATCATATACGAACAGAAGAATACAAGAATAGAATGACAGAATTTGTGAATAAGAAAAGAGAACACGAGACTAAGAGAAAAGCAGAATAATAGTAGAAGAGATAAATGAAATCATGAAACAATGGAATAATACAAAATGCAACCG